GAATGGGCAACAGGATCCCTTGAGATTAAACCTAAAATCACCCATTTTAGATTAAAAAAAAAAATTGAAGTGTACATGGAATAGCATAGAGAATGTTTACTTTTTCTTTCTCTGCAGAAGTGAAGCCTAATGGCATACTCTTAGTGGTCAGTGCACATTGGTGGTTGATTTTCTGTGTTCCCTTTATGGCTTTGTAGGGCAGGAGCCTAGAACTAGCTGGATTTTGAAATGCAAAGCAAGATTTTTCCCTTTACATTTCAACTCCTTCAGGTTCGGAAGGACTCAGCTGGCGGGGTTTATGGCTAACAAAGGCAGACTGGAGAAAGCAGCTGACTACAGACACTTTTAAATCCCAGCCTGAGAAGTTCTCTCTCCACTGAAGATCTGTATCTGTAATAAATTTAACCCACATCAACACTTGGGGAAGTTCATGTTTAATCTAATCTAATCTTAAAATACAGTAAAACATTTGGCTGTAGATGCTTGGATCGCACTCATATCACTTGTAACACATTCTGTATTTTTTGTCAAAGTCTCTATCCTTTTCTCAAAAACAAAAAAGAAAGAACTGGTTGGGATGGGAAAGAACAAGCCGTGTAACCAGAACTTCAAAAAAGTGTAAAAGATCTAAAATTACACCTGCAGCTCGATGCTCAGAGAGGATAAATAGCCAGACACACACACACATGCACACAATCTCCATTTTTCTTTGATGTCCCTAATACAAAAAATGCCAACCAAGGGCTGTCTTGCTTATTTTTACAAAATAAACATGTGAAATCAGAGCCCAGGGCGGATGTATTGCCAACTAGTGATTTCCTGTTGTGTTCACTGAAGCTACCAGGAGCAAGATAACAAGAAAGGAATAAAATCCAGGTTGTAATACAAGCCTGGACAGCATATCGATGTCAGTAGGAGTGTATTTTTTCTGCTCTTATTTTATTAAGACATATATGAAATTGCTAGGTTAGTCACTAATTTCACAGAAAACCAGTGAGCACTGGCTGGCTCCACATGGTTATCCAGCCAAGGTGACATCTCCCCTGCTCTCCAGCCACATCCATGCTCCAGCTTCCACACCAGTCTCCTCTTTCACCGTGTGCCTCATCTTTCACCTCCCCTCTCATCTCCCACTCCTGCTTTTATCCACACTATAAGGCAGATTAGAGACAAACCCTCCACACCAAAAAACCCCAGCCTTCCCCCTAAACAAACCAAAACATCTCGTCCCCCCACTCCCAGACAAGGTGTTTACAAATTGGCTTTCTCCGATTTATCTTTTTGATTTATCTCTCTCTTTGCTCTTTTGCCATGGTAAGGAGCTAACATCCTCACTTTTGAGGGAAAACTGAGAGCAGGTACAAAAGCAAGTGATCACTACAGTTGTAGATTTTGTAGTCTGGACCTATTGGCTGATTTATACCAGTGGATTATATGCTCTTTCATATAATATTATATTAATATTTATTATATTATATATGATATGTGTTATATATTGTATTAATGGCTGATTATGTATTATATTATTAAAATAACAGTGACTCCTTAGAGCCATTGCCACAAGCTGGAGCTTCTTATGGTCTTGGGAGGTCATTCTGCAGCCAGAAACAGCTGAAGTACAAAGTAGATCCAGGTGTCCCCAGCCTTTAATTAGCTGTGTTTCCCACACATTCTCCTGGCAAACACACATTCCCTCCCCCAGAACAGGGCCATGTGAGTTAAGCTGACTATCTGGTTGTTGCTTTTTTTCTTTTTTTGCCACCATAGGTTGAACAAAAAAAATCAACAGTGTATGCTGTCCAGAATATGGTCCCACTGAGAACATTTCCAAGTATTATCTCCATCTGCCATGAGATAGAACTTTCAGCATGATTTCTTCTATGCTATTTTGAACACACATCAGTTTATGGTAATACTCATTTACTACTATTGAAAATTCTATTTGAAGAATATTGAGTTACAAATACTACATAGGAAAAGGACAGTCATCAAATACATAAGCAATGTTTTAATGGCTGTATGATTTTTTACATTAAAATCAAAGCAAGATCAATATCTGAGGACCAAGGATGCTAAATTACGTCAGTGTTTTCTGACCACTCTAGTAAATCGTAATGTTGAGTTCCTGAGTAAGTGGAGCAGAAATCCATACAGTGAGTTTCTGTGAAAAAAAATACACAAAAATAATGAACAACTTTATGTTAACTTAAAAAAGACCAGCTCAAAACAGAGAACAAGAAGGGAAACTTGAGCTTAGACCTTCATGATTCCCTTAACCTCATCTGGTAGGCAAGACTGACTTGATGGCAGTATGCATCTTTCTACTGCTGTATCCAATTCAACATCCCTTTTAGCAATTCAGGAGCAGTTTAAAATTAATTAATAACATGCATTAAATATGAAATTATAAATACAGTACCTGTCCTGCTGCTCTCCCTGTTCAATGTTAAATTCGATGTATTTTATGCTACTCTCATAATTTCCATTTTCAGTACTTTACCAGCTTTATCTTTAGGTTTCAGAATTAATAATCTCTTAAAATGCATGATATCCATTCACACATCTTAGCTATTTTCTTGCCCACCCACAAATTCATGTTAACATCACTCTAACAGTCTATGCTTAGATCACTTCTTCAAAGTATGTAATGTTTTCCTCTTTCATCAGAAACAGTTCTCTACCACTACTTGGTAAGTAGGAAGTCCACTTCTTGAATGATTTGCCTTTTATTCAAATACGGGGCCAGATCCAGACGAAAATACTGCAGCCCCATCCAAACACTAACCCAAAAGCGCCAGGCGGCCAGAAAGGCTGCTCCAGATTGCACTAGTGCATGGACATTGGGAAGCTCCCCGCACTTCCCAGCAGAGGATGCAAGTGGAAGAAGAAGGAGAACCTTCCTATGCCCAGGTCATTTTGTTGTCAGCACAAGCCTGGTCAACAGAAGTGCTCCTCCAGCATCCCAGCTGCCGTTACAATACAGTTCCTGTGGCTCTTAGGGTACAGTACTCCAGGGGGAAAGAAAAAGATAGAGACTCCTAATAATAGGAAGATTCTGTGATATTACAAATGTCAGAGCAGGGTAGCACTGCATGAATCAGAGTGAAAGAAGTGGCTTATTACTAAGCAAACTGCTTCTATTTATATACAAATAACTATGGCTCATTTAAGCACTTAAGCACTGCTTTTAGGCAAATTTGCTTTCTGTAAAGCAAAAGCAATATGGTAGAAGTTACTTTCTACTAAATCCCTTCAAACAGTACAGTCTTTGTGCTTGTCAAACTATTATACAGTATGTAATCTCATTAAGTCTGTGAGAAAGTGCAAAATTTTGTTTTGTTATTTTGTTGTTTTTTTAATTACATGGATTGTAAGTTTTGAAGATCTAAACCCAAGCTGCTAATGCTTTTCTTTTTTTTAACAGAGACTCAAACATGAGAGGATTATAGGCAATGGTATTACAACATCTGTACAGGGATGGTGGGAGAGGTTTGACTGAATCTCTTAGTTTGTAAGAAGAATACATTTAGCTGGTTTAGGTTACTGTCTGATTTAAAGAATGTAATTTTTGTGCAGTTTTGGACCTTTCTTACTACAGCAGCTTGGTGTTTTTTTCTCCGTTATTTGAAGTAGTTCTTCAGTCACTGACATAATCTTTTGCGCTTAAATCAAATTTGAAATGATACTTTTGTGACAAGTTTTTTAGTCTTTCTTAATCATCTTTTTATGTGATGCTGTTAGTATGCAGTTATCTTCTGGATTTCTGTGATTGGTGCCTTCAAGCACATCTCAATAGAATGTTTTCTTTACCCTGCCACATTTATGTTGCTTTCAGCTTTCTTAGAGGCAGTTTGGCTGTTAAATAATTTCTTCCCTTGAGGCAATACTGATTACACTTATTTATGACATCGTCTCTGAAAGTGAGTTTTTTATGACTCTCCAAGGCAGAAATTTATTCTCAGCAGTTTTCTTCCTTTACAGATCCCTTCAATAAAATAAATGTTAGACCAGGTGTGTATAATGGGGATCACACTTTGGTTACAAATAAACTTAAATCATTAAGCCAAGTGGGTAGAGCAACATAAGACGTGACATCTTTCACTGAATGATGAGTTAGTGGCATCTTAAAGTGTTGGCACTAGGAGTTCCCTAGATGCAGACCAGTGCTGAGATGCGAGTACCGCATCTCATACGAAGTATGCACAACCCACTTGGTGGCTGGTGACAGATATGGCACAACTGACCAGAGCAAGGGAATTTTACTCAGTGTTGCTCCTTTTGTCTATTCTCCCGTGGAAAAGGAAATTGGGACCACAGAGGCTGGCTCAGCTCTTCATTAGGGCTGTTCAGTCTGTCCCCTCTGGGCTGTCTCCTTGTTGGTGCTAGAGGAGGAGCACTGCACAAGCAAGTCATGCGTTTATATCTGGGACACTGAGGTTGGACACTTTAAGATGCTGAAACTGTAACTGTTGTCTCACTGTAGTGATAGTTTCTTAGGAACAAATGTACAGCAGAGATTCACCTTTCCCTCCTCTGAAGATAGGGAGACCCTCATTAGAGCCAGCTACGCTGTAATCATTTTTGGACACTAAGTAGTTGTAAGAAAATATCTCCACTATTTCTTTTTAGCAGCTGATATATAACTTTGAGAGGTTTTCTCATTTTATCAGAATGATAATAATGCCCTTAAAACTGCTAACGTTTCTCCCAGTTTGTGGAACTCTATCTTATTATTATTATTACATTAGTTTAAAAACTTGTATAAGTGGCAGACACTAAATGAGAGAGAGAATGAGCGTATGTGTAATAGCAAAGATTAAAGTTTCCTAAAAAAGCTCTTGCTGTTGCTTCCCCCTCGCCAAACTCAGGCTGTTGTATCAAGAGTTGGTGTCTGCTTATACTTGGAAATGTAAAGGAGCGTGGATGAGAAACTGTTCCTGTTAGTCATTGCCTATCCCCCATTCCCTAGGTTTTTCATAATTGCTCAGTGCAGCTCTTACCCCACTCATGTCATAAGAGAAAGCGTCTCCGTGAATGGCTCTTCCATTCAGAGCAACAGCATGAGGCGTCAGTTTCAGGCCAAGAATGGTAATTTTGTTGTACTTCAGAACGTCAGCCCCTCGGTAGCCATTTTTAAGTATTTCTGTCTTCAGGTTTCCCTGGAAAAAGCCACAGAGAAAATTTTAGGACCACCACAACTCTTTGGAGGTGACTCACTGTGTACTGTTACTGTTGTGGTCTCATCTTTGTCAATGAACGTATAGAATGCCTTCCAATGTAGGCATTAAAGTTTGAGACCGTAAAGGAAAAAGAACAGCCACATTAATTTTCACGTAAGAAAGGTTTTGTCTATCATTATAAACTAACAAAGTAAGAAAACAGCATTTACAACATTCATTTGGAATCTTCTTGAACATGTTTTTTCTACCTGTAATCAATGCAAATTTGATTCTTGTACCCATTTACAGGGTACAGCGGCATATGCAAAGCCAAAATCCAGATATGTAGATTCAATTAGTGACCTTAAGGCAGATTTAATTAACATCCACAACTAACTGCTTTAAACCATTAGCATCTTCCACGAACATCAGCTACTAGATATTTTGCTCCTATTTGATGTCCCACATGTCCACAGCTCCTGCTAGAAATCTCTGCTAAGTATGTCCTAGCTTTAAGGACACTGAAGGAACACTGTACGTCCACAGAGCCTTGTTTGTTATACTGCTTATTTACTATGTATCATGTATTTAGGGTGTATCAAGAGGACATACAAAGTCATTAAACAAATTCATTTGGATCACCCGCGACAGTAATTTCCCATACAAGCAATGAAGAGGAATCATTGCATTTGTTATGCGATCAAAGTTGTTAAGGAAATAAAGATGAATTACACTGCTCAGGAAATGATGAATTGCTATGCAATCATGACTTTTTAAAAATATGCCAAGGAGAAACCCATGATGGAACCTTTTGCATAAATTAGCTTATGGTATTTCAGTGGTGCATGGTAGGAGGGGAGCAGAAGCTAGATCACAGTATTTGTAACTTAGGGCTGTGCTTAGACTGCACACTAAAAATAAGCACTAATCCCCAGCACACTGATTTAAACAGCCTAAATAAGGAATGTTGGCTATTATGGACCAAATGGGGAGAGGCCTCTAAAACCCTCTGGAGAATGTGTTAGGGTACTTATATATGGCGTCTTCTCCCTATTAGCAAAGCTCCAGCATACAGAGGTGTTCAGTATAGGGACCACCTCTCTACAGTGATTTATTGCTGTCTCAGATGTGGCCAAGCAGGAGAGCTAACTCAAGGTGGCCACATGGACCCAGCAAACTCAGTGTGATGCTGAACTCAGTGATTACAACTGTATTAATAAATAAAGTTGCACTCAAGCTCTGAGGTCCTGAGCCAGGGCTCTGCAGGAGACACCATTGTCCCTCTGACCAAGACCTAGAACTGAAGGTCTTGGGGAGACAGGGAGGTGATGGTCCAGGGGAATGAGTGACCTTCTCCTCCCCAGGCATCTAGTGGTTAAAGCAATTGCCCAGGAAGGTCCTGAGTTCTCATCAGAGGGAGGGAACTTATGGATATCACTCAAAGCCCCATAAATGCAAAGCACAAACAAGTCCCAGATCCAAGGCCAGAAGCCAGGACTTCCTCCTGCACTTCTGAGCAGCAGAGTAATGATTTTTCTTTCCTACTGTCGTGCTCTAGTCCTATGAACTTCACCTTTTTTTTCCCCCCACATTTTCCCCCTGAGGAGAACTTTAGGAGGAACTTGCTCTCAGGCTAGTCAGTTGACTAGTGGCTAGCATATTCTTGGGCAAGCCATCACCATCCCTTTAGTATCTGGACTGACTTGGTACGGTCTGAGCGTATCATCTGCCTTGTCTGCTGCTGCTGGGGACGGAAGCTGAGTTTATGGCTCTCTCTGCTCATCCCTGAAGTACAGCGGATCTTATACATCTGGCTTACGTATTTTTCTAGACTGGTAGGCTTAATATATGGGGCACTTTGCCTTGGGGCACTTTGTCTTAGGTCACTTAGCCATTACGCGTGTCGGAATGGAAGTGTCAAGTGAATTAAAATACCGACCGCAGTGAGACAGTACCCGAGAGCAGACAGCTTGAATTGTTCTCTGTGACTTAAGTGCCTGCACTAGTCTTGAATTCTCCTGTGTACTTCTGGGTTGTTTAAATGAAAATATAAATGAGAGGGTCTAATCCTGCAGCTGTTACCTGCACAACACACTGTGCTGGGTTCAGAGTAAATGCTATGATGTCAGATCTTATCAGTAAATCTCTTAGGGACAAAAATTGGTGTGTTCTCCTAAAACTAGGTGTGATTAAATTATTCATCCACAATTTCTTAAGAATATAGAAATGTGCAACAAATACCTAGATTTTCATACATTTCTCATACCTCTACAATTTGCTATTTGAGATGGATTTTTTCTTTATAAACACATAATAAAAAATCAACATTAGAGATTATTGGAATGCAGATAGGGACTTCAGTCATGGATTTACAGGCAGAAGTCAAATATAGGCAATGAGAAATGGAAGTGCCAGTGAATCAACAATCTAATTTGCACAGATCAGAATTTAATATAAAACTGGATATTGTTTTTCTGTAGCCTTCCTGCAATAAATTACTACAGAAAGCTGAAGTGATTTTTCTTCCTTTTTGCCATTGAAATATCCTTTTTTTGAAGAAGAAGAAAATTTTTTTTCTTGGTAAATCAAGATGAAAATAAATTAAAAATTAAATTTAAAATCTAGACACGTGGTATTAGTTCCAGGAAAATATCTCACGAATATACAAGACTACATCATAAAACCCATCAGTTTACTCTGGCTTGCTCTCAGTCCTCCTGGAAGACATACATTCTAAGAGCAATATCACAATAAAGGTTAACACAATTTTATTCTTTTGAATATTCTCTGTAGACTACTTTGGGGCTTTTAGGAATACACGACATGAAAACCATGCCACAGTGTACATGCACTATCCTATTTCTTACCAAACACTGGAATTGTAGATAAAATATGATCTGTGTAGATTGCTGAAGCAGGTTAGTTTTTTTACAATAACTCCCACAACTTACTATCATATACTTAATGAGCTTCTAGTAGATTTATTTTATCATATTTTTCTCAGCTGAAGCCTAGACTGCTGGGTTTTTCTGTTGAGCTTCCTCAGGACATGTTTGCACAGAAGCGAGCGCTGTGTGAAAGGCATTAGTGCACTGACCCTGGGCTAATCTATTTCTTTGCTGCATGGAGCATCTGATCTGCACAGTGGGTTGCTGGTAGCGTGCTGAATCGCTCCGCAGGAGACCGGCCATGGGAGCAATCTCTGTGCTGTCAGACAAGGAAACGCAAGCTAAAGAAGTGAGACTACGAAATTCTCTAGGCCACAAAATGCAAGCTTCAAGTGATCAAAGTTAAAAAGTTGCTGGGATATCCTGAAGAGAGGAACATAGCCTTCCCCCACCTGTCAGACTGAAAGTGTTCACAGGAAGGAACACAAGGAAAAGGTCCCTCATCCCCAGAAGCAGTGATTCAGAAAAAAGATAAAAATCTAAGCTGAAAAAGTGGATTTTCAGATTCACATCACAACGGGGACATTAATGATGTGTCGCTATGATACTCAATGAAGCAAACACAAAACTGCAGCATCACAGAATCATGGAATGGTTCCACCCCCCTTGCCATGGGCAAGGACCCCTTCCACTAGACAAGGTTGCTCAAAGCCCCATCCATCCTGGCCTTGAACACTTCCAGCGAGGGGGCATCCACTGTCTCTCTGGGTAACCCGTTGCAGTGTCTCACCACCCTTATAATAAAGAATTTCTTCCTTATATCTAGTCTGAATCTTCCCTCTTTCAGTTTAAAGCCACCCTTATATCTAATCTTAATCTACCCTCGTCCACTTTAAAGCCATTACCCCTTGTTTTATCACTACATGCCCTTGTAAAAGTCCCTCTCCAGCTTTCTTGTAGGCCCCCTTCAGGTACTGGAAGGCTTCTATAATGTCTCCCTGGAGCCTTCTCTTCTCCAGGCTGAACAACCCCAACTCTCTCAGCCTGTCTTCATAGGAGAGGTGCTCCAGCCCTCTGATCTTCTTCGTGGCCCTCCTCTGGACTCACTCCAACAGGTCCAGGTCCTTCTTATGTTGGGGGCCCCAGAGCTGAATGCAGTACTCCAGGTGGGGTCTCACGAGAGTGGAGTAGAGGGACAGAATCACCTCCCTGGACCTGCTGGCCACACTTCTTTTGATGCAGCCCAGGATACAGTTGGCTTTCTGGGCTCCAAGTGCACATTGCCCGGTCATTTCCAGCTTCTCATCAACAAACACCCCCAAGTCATAGTTGGATTATTTTGTAGCTGTCTGTAAATGAAAGCATTAGGTAGCTTACCAGGTTTAAAGGCTGAGCTATAAGAAAAAAGCTTTCGAGGGAAGAGTTAGACATCAGCACCTTACGATAGCTACACTAAAATACAGCGACCTGTATGTATGTAGGTATCTTGTATGCTGCTACTTACTTTGCTGTATGTATATTTAGCCAAGAAGTAGTTCTCTTTTTCAATAGTATCTGTCAAAACACAGAACAAGAAGGACTGGTATCAAAACAGGGAGCAAAATCCATACCCAGTTCACATTAATTGTAGCGAGTGGCTAACGTCAGACTGGGTGGATTATTTAATGTCTTTCTCTAGTCATCTTAGGGTGGTCTCAGGGGAACGCGACATGACTATCTAGCAGACCAGCTGTTCCCAGTGTCGCACCTTTCTCACATCAAAATGCTGCACTCAGCTTTTCACCTCTGTAACATTCAAATTAGGGTCAGTTCTCCAGCTATTTCTAGCAGGAGTCAGTGCCATTATACCACTGAAAAGGTGGCCTGAGGAGAGCCCTGTATACAGACACTGCTTCACAGTGCGGGACCAGGCTTACCGATGGAGTCACCATCATCCCAGAAGAGAGACCCAGAAGCTTCTCCTTGTTCATCCAGGGCGATAATGAGCCCAAATGGATTCAGACGGCTGTTGACAAACACGTTGAGAAGTGTCAGTACAAACTCACATGCACTGTCTCAAGTTATTTAGCAAAAACTTCTGAACACAATTAACTGCAATTTTAAGGTTACAAAAAAGGCCATGACAGAAGAATGACAACCATGCTCACCAAAATGGCTCCTGAAATGAAGATGAAAATTTTACCTTGCCTTGTCCCACTGAAGTGTAAAATTCTCACTTTTTGAGTGCTCGTGTGGACAAGTTTCCCCTTCTTTAGTGGCCTTAATGTATGATAATTGGGCAGTCTGGGACGCAACTGGTCACCAGTGCTACCTTACTATGGTCTGGTTTGGTTCCTGCACAGTGCTGGTCCCTTCCTTCACTACTCACATTAGCTTCTGAACATGGTTCAGATGTGAGGCCAGTGTATTACCCACTGGTGTGGGGAAATAATTTTCCTCAAAAGAGATTTGAGCTTTTCTACCTTGCCCATGGCATTGGATAAATACATCCAAGGAGAAGAGTTTTGCATTTTCCCCTTCAATATGTTTACTTTGAATGACTGGCAGCAGGTCAGTGTGGCAGTAAGAGGTGCAAAAGCTTTTCCAAGCATAACCACAGAGCCAGGAGTAGGTTTCAGCTGTGCAAACTGTGACATGAGTCATCTCTGGGGTGACTTCTCCTAATGCAATGGAACGGATAGTGGGATAAAAATACTGTGTTTATCGCCTGGGATGGCAGCTGAGAGCTGCAGATAGCCTCTCTTCTGCACTGTCTTTTGATTGCTTTTTTGGCTCTCTGTGGGTCTGACCTGCACTGTGGTTGTTTGGTGATGGACATAGATGACGTTACCTCTTAGTAGTGGTCGTGGCTGGTGCCTGTTCTGGCAGGATGTAGCCTCCACGGATGAACAGAGGGATCTTGGTCAATGGAGCAGCCACAGTGACATAGTTCTTTCTCCAGGTATTTGACAGTTTAGTACCCTACCGCAAAAATGAATGCAGTTAAAAGAACTCAAATCCAGGCACTATACATTGTGACCATACACCACTGACAAAGAGACCAAGGGGTACATTTTCATCTCAATTACATCAGTGAAAATGCAAACAGAAAAGCAGATTTCAGGGGTATTATTCCAGTTCCTTTTTTTAACATGGAAGAGGATCTAGCCCCTGCAGTTATGCATATGCATGAGATACAAGCATCATGAATGAAAGACAGCAAATCATCTTTAAAAATGATATCATTATTCCATATGCTGTGAAAAAAACCCTCATCAAGACACTGAGCAAAAAGCAAAAGAAACTTTTGCTTCTTCTTTTTATGCATATAGAGCCTGTCACATTTCAGTTTAAGGTAAGTGATTCATAATCATTTGGGACCGTAAACTGTAGATTTTCTTCTCTTTTAAGGACAAGTCTTCCCCTTCCAAAAAGTAATTACAGCATTCAATGAGTGAAAATTGTATATGTGTAGACAACTAGCATAAGTTATCTGCATTATTCCTTCCTGGTTTAATGCCTCAAAACCTGGTGTAGGCAAGGCTTACATACAGAGTAGATAACAGGAAGGCTTTGCTCTTGCCCTCTGTAAATGGTAATTATAACTTACGGTAAGTACCCAACCTTGGTTTGTGGGAAGTGGCGAGTACGTGCCAAATACTAGGAGCTGAGCTTTGCTAATGCTGGGGGCATGCCCCATAGGCAGGGCAAGGGACACCGGGGCTGCTGTCCCCACACCCAGCCCAGCAAGGGGGGCTCAGAGGAAACCACAGCAAGGAGGGCTGAACAAAATGCTTGACCTTGGGGCACCACGGTCTTATGAAAAGAGAAAAGGGAAAGAAAGAGTTGGATGAATGTCCATCTGAGGACACTAGCCAAATGCTGAAAATGACCAAACTTCTTGAAAAATAAGTCTGAATTTCCTCTGAGAGCATTTCTGTCCTGCCCGCTCCTCTGCCAGCATCACTTAGGGTAGTTAACAACAGCCTGATGCTCCTGGGCTCACATTTCCGAAAGCTCTTAGCATCAGCAGATTGCAGCAGCGTGTAGTTAGGTTGAAACTGAGCATTTTTGGAAATGCAGTACTGGGGATGGTGTTCGAAAGGGCAAAACTTGTAGTCCCTGAAACTACAAGAGGCTGGCATTTTCCACAGAGCAGATTGTTCTGCATCTCTTGGAAGCATCTTTCAGAGGGAAGCCTCACCCTCCTCTCCAAATATGCCTTCTGTCAAAAGTGATGCGTGTGCAAAACTGCATGCACAAAATGGTTTGCAGCATGTTCTCAGGAGTACGACTTAGGTTTCTGTCTCTGTTTCCATGCAGGAAAGTGTATCAGTACAAGAATTAAAATATGCAATAATGGGGGGAAAGAAAGAAATCTTGACAGTTTCATGAATTTCTAGGCTGCTCTTGAAAATTCAGTTCTCTGTGTCTTAGAGCTTTACAAACCGAAAATAGAAAATAAAATGGTACTGAAAGCTGTGCAATTTACTCTCCCAGCTAGCCTGGTGTAGACTTTTTGTGCTCTAGTTTTCTTCAACACAGATGCTGAGGTAAAAATACTGCTGAACATTGCTAAAAGTTATTTTGCTGGAATTGTACCATTTTAAATTATGTAAAAAATATAAGAAATTGAATCTTAAAAATACATACGGTGTAGTAGTCAAACCATGGTGCTTCAGGGAAGTATACATCCACAGATCTTGCTCCCTGTAATTGTTATAAAGTGATTAAAGTCTTTTTTCTTTCTGCATTTCTGATATTACATTAGCTTTATTATATTTGCGCATGGAGAGATGTATGCTGAATATTCTAATAACATCAAATCTTGGATATTATGGCTGAGTTATTATCATAGCAGTGGACTAGTGCTGGCTAATCTATAATGTTAAACAGACGAGCCTATCCTATTTGGGGAGTTTTACTGCGGTTCCATGGGATGAATCAATGTTATATGATTATTTTGGTCTAGCACATAGCTCTGTGTCTTGCAAATGTAACTGGCCTAGGCTCAGTCCTCTAACATCTGAGCAATCCCAGTGAGGTCTACAGCAGCCTTTGCAAGGCAGGACTTCACGTCTGATGATGGAGTGGGGGGACACCACTGCTCAGTGCCTCTTGCACCGTTCCTGTTGCAGAAACAGGCAGAGAGTAAGATCTGGCAAGGAGGATACACAGAATGTTGTCTTCCTGGCAACAATTTAAAGTTGCAGATAAATAATAATAAATAATGTCCTGCTAATTGCACAATTGTTGTACTTCATTTTGCAGCATGTGTTGTATCATATTGCTGCAGAGATGAAATCATGCTAAAGGTACTTTGAATTAATAACTCCAGGAAAAGTTGGAATCAAAACATACTTCCTTTTTTGTTCCGAGTTGCTTATTCTCACAAACAGATTAATTTTGATTCTCAACATAGATGTCTGCCCCTTTGCAGAGTTACAGTTTACCCCAGGGAGCAGGTGGAGCACAGAAAGTAAAGGTGGAGGAGAAAAGTTAAAGTAAAGTTACCATTTCACCTTTTAGGGATTTTATATATACATATATAAAAAAACAAGTAGGAAGAATAAGAAATAACGGATTTATTAAAGTATGCAAATCTCACATTAGAATACAAGAATTGCTAAACTGGAAGTTTGTCTTGTCCTGCAGCCTGTCTCCCACAGCGGGCAGCGCTAGGTATTTCAGGCAAAGTGTCCTAGTGCTGCAGTAAGGTTGGGCTAGTTTGCTCTGTCTGTTTAGATCATACTAGCTGTTTAACAACTAAAGGTTGGCTTAATCTATAAAGCACCTTGAAAACTTGAAGGAAAAACCCTATAAAGTCAAGATGCCCCTCTCTCCATATTTTCTCTGCATTATTATGACAACCCTGGATATTCTGGTCTGCACAGAAGTGTGTAACCACCATCTGAATCGTGGTGAGCCTTGCCTTCATGACTCCCTATGTGACAAGCCAGTGTGTAAGGCAGTTCCCCATTCTAGTTTTGATGGATGTCTCGCTTGCTCACACCCTAGGACTCAAGGAGCGAAGGGGAAGCTGTCCCTGACCCATCTTCTCTAGACAAGCAGGTGCCATGCTGCAGTTTGACACAGTCACTGCTGGCCTGCAGTGCCATGGTGAGGGACTCACCTCTGCCCCTGCCCTGCTAGCTGGCACAAGCCCTGGCTGACACCACTCTCCCACTGCAAGACCCAGCAACATGTTGCCTCCAAAGCTCTTCTTCCCCCATCAGGCCACAGGAACCCGGCCTTCCTTTTGTGCTGCAGTCCCCCTAAAAACATTAGGAACCCCTTATCTAGACCCCCTGTCATTTTATACATCCTTATATTGTTCCCTTTCATTCACTTCTTTGCAGAGAGCCACCCCTGGCTTGTCACTCTCTCTTCGTGGGAAGGTTTGTCTCATGTCTCTCATCATCTCGCTGGTCTGAGACCCCGTGAAATCTCCATGTTAGTCATCAGCTATTAGAAACCTGGGGGAGTCTGAAGATGAAAGACTGACGAATGAAGTGCCTTGGTGGAGTCAGAATGGTTTTAGATGCAGGAATAAGAATTTCCTTTTAAATTCACAGAGGCACAAGGGCTGGATAAAAAAGGTGACTAACAGTGGCCTGTTTATATGTTTGATCGTCAGCAACATCTAGAAAATGTATCGGCTATTCTGGCAGCATGCTGATCGCAAACAGCTCTAGGATACATCACCTGCAGATATTTAGCTCTGCGCAGATATACCTTTCTGGTGCTGCCAGCAGTCAGTGGTGGGGCAAGTAGAGAAACCCACCCTTGCTCCAGCCAAGCAATGACAGCCCTGATGCCAGTGCCATGCCCACCACAGCCATAGGAAAATGCTGCTTTTAAAAGCCTGTCATATTAGCAGCTGACATTGTCATTACCATTTCCGTAATGACTGTGTTTGCCTGTGATGCTGGGAAACTCCTAGCACAGCCCTTGAGATGCCACAGTTCCAAAACACTGTGGGTGAGTGCTAACATGGAAACTAGTTTGGTTTAATATCTGCGTGTTTCTTCCTAGCTTGACAATTACTGCTCTGTGTGTGTCCTTGGAGGGAGCTGTCAGCACAATAACAGGAGCACGCAAGGGGCAGCATCCAGCCTGTTTACATCCATTAGGCGCTTGGAGTAGCAGGGAAATGCCATGCCCTCACTTTCATCCTCCCACTTCAAGCACTGGGCAGGCCTGTACTGTCTGTGATGCTCACAAATGTGTTCTGCAAGCTTTGACAGTGGAGGGAAGAAATGGGTGGATATGAGCAAACATGCCCTGAATGTCATCCAATGCCCTAAGTGCAGTTCATTTTTTTGATTCCAGTATGATGGCATTTTTTAATTACAGTACTTGCCTCTTGAAGAACGGGCGCAATCATAAAAGCAGGTCCCCAAAGGAAGGCGGTATCTATTCCATGAGTCTGCTGATCAGAGGTAAATCTAGTGTTGAAAGTGAGATAGGCAATGTTAATTCACATTTTTACAGAACATATATTCTGTTGTACACTGGCTGGAGCAGAGTGGCTCAGTGTCTGTCCTGTTCTGACACCCTGCCTGCTCAGGTCATAGCATCTACTGCACCCAGCCCAGACTTACAGAAATTACCCCAAAAGAGCAAAACCATGTTGGCAATAAAAAGACATCTATTAGGTGTTCGGATTTCTAAAATACTGCAAGTTTAGGGGAGTACATGGAACTCAGAAAAAAATGTTCTTGAAGGCATGCCTCAGGCTCTGCCTGAAAGAAACCTCAATTTATTCAGAGTTTCTTTTTCTGTCCAAAACAGTAGTTCTTTTGGAGACCTTAATCTTGGTCATTATTGCATTTTGACATAATGCTTTGTAAATATTCAAAGTGGAGTGTGGTTTTTGATGAATTACCTTGCCTTAAAGTTTTTGAAATATAAACCAGTTTTTCTTGTCATCTCAATAGCATCTCTGTATTTTTAATTTCACTGTAATAAAATCATAATACTGACTCAATATACTTTGTTGTGGGAGATTTCAGAAGAAAAAGCTGATCAAGAAATTATGACAAAAGATAAGTTGAAATAATTTGCACGTGGAAACAAGCATCTCACCATCTAACTCAGCACTATTTTCTTTTGCAATTATAGCAACCACAAGCACAAATTCAGCAAACAAATGAGCTTTCCCATTTTGAAAATATAAGCCACTAAGCCAATCTGTGATCTATGAAAGGTGCTTAATTCCACCTACATGCTTCCTATGGTTAGATGTTGGCCTCTCTTCTGTCTTGTTTTTCCCCTGTTTAGCCACCAAGCAGAGCTTTCCCTTCGAGCAATGGATTACCACCCCCTGGTCTTTTTGGACAGCTGAGCTACTGGCACCTCGGTTTCGCTGAGTGAAAGCCTCAGAGGCACCTAAAACGCTTATAGGAGTCTACTAGGATGTTGTTCTTGTTTGTTATTTGAAATGAGCACCTAAATATTTGAAATGAAATGAAACACCTGAAACGACCACATGAAACAGCTATTGCTCGGAGACTCCCTGCCCAGGCAGAGTTGGTTTCACTGTGAGGCTTGTGAACTCGTAACAGCTCCAGCTGAAAAAACAGTGAAATTTTTTAGCTCCCCTTTGTATTTGTTACAAGTAAGGGAAAGGTTTGATGTAAAGTTCCATCATCCATACATCGAAAATTCTGTTTCAGTCCTCTCTTTCTCTAAAACCCACATTTCTCCTCTTGTTAGCACTTGGGTCACTTTCTCTACTTGAGCAGACCCACTAAAACAATGAGTATTAATTAGAAATAGTAAGAAATACTCACTAAGTAACAATAGTAACCAGAATTAACTAATAGTAAGAAATACTTCTAAGCCATTTTAGGATCTAGCTATGGCAACATTAGCAAGTGATGTGCCCACTAGGATGGGACCTGGGTAGTGAAAGAGTTTGTGCTGATCTCCTGATGCCTACACTCCCTACATGCATTTTAGAGGTTTTATTTCCTAGTAATCCCAGCCTGGGCCCCTGACTGAGCTCCCATCAATGGTTGGAGCACACCTTTTGGCTCAGTTTCACCTGACCAAAGTCTCTGCTGGTGCATCTGAGAGTGCTCTACAATTCAAATCAAGGCAAATTTGGAAATTTGCTAATGTCAATGTGGCTCAAATAGAGTACAAGTATGCTGGGAATGGTCAGAAAGGCAGCTTTAACATCATTAAACTAATTCTGTATTAGCAGAGATTAGCTAATATTAATGCCAAAATGAACTCGGTCGTTTCCAATATTAACACAAATCTCATTAAGCAGAAATAGAGCTAAAATAAATACTTGAAACAGCATACAGCCCCTTGTAAGACAAGAGTACCTATAATACTTCTCCTTAATGTAACCCAGTTAAATAAGGTAGCAAAGTAGGAAGAAGAAGGATACTGCTTTTAAAATTTGTCAGTTAGCCATTACGCTGAGTAGGCAAAACAGGTTTTGTGCATATCCTTATCATACTCAAATGGTCTGCACTTTAGTGTAATCTCAGTTTAATTTGCAAAAAATGCCTTACCCTTTAACCAAAATGTTTTTAACCTAAAGGGAAAAAGAACATTAAACAGTCCAGGATGTAGTCTGCACCAATGAGACTAAATTGTGTCAGAGCTTTGGGCAGTAGCTTTTCATATGTATTATTTGCACTCTTTTTGCTTAAGTCTTTGTGTAAAGCATTCTGAAGTAGAAAAATTACTGAAAGCAGGTAAAAAGCTAATTAAAAGATGCTGAGAGGGAAACTAAACCTCACTTTGATTCCTGCTTCTTCCAAACAGAAAAAATGAGTTGTTCCAAAAATCTGAGGCCACATTTTCTGAGGGGTTTTTCAGTCTGTATTTATTAATCTCAGTTTTGCACCTGCTTCTACACTCAAACATCTCTATCTCTGTTTTCTCTGTACAATTTGTGGACACAGATGTGGGTTTCATACATAGCATGCAGATGCAGGTGCTAAATTGGAAAATGCAAATGCTGTGGATGATTGGAAAATGGAGACTTCTCTGTATGAGGCCTTCTTGGCGTTCTGGACCAGAATACAGATTTCACAGGTTTCATTCAAATACAGAAAATACAGGCATGTTATTCTTATTTTTAAAATAAAAAAGAACTGCATATTTGCCTAAGACAAGCAATTTTCAGAATTCTCCTTACTTAGTTTTTTTTGCTGGAAACAAATATAGGTTATATTTTAATGAAAACCCATTGCATATATTAAGAGTTATTTTTGTGCATATCATTTGATTAGATTTCATTGTAAACCTGTTCTTTTTAAGAGAGCATGCAGTAATATTACTGTGACTGTTCTCAAACAGATATCAACTAGTTTATACAGAGAAGCTCAACTACTTTTGTGAATAAAATATGACAAAAAAAGAGAGACTCCAAACTCACTCATGCATCAATGACCGCACCACCGTGCCTCCATGAACATGAGACTCGAAGAACAAGGTGTATAAGTATGGCAGCAGTGAGTATCTAATCCGAAGCGTAGCACGAGATATCTTGGCAAACTCTTCTCCAAACACTGCTGGGTCTTGTTCCTGTTAAGGAAAAGCTTTGATTTGTACTGAGCATTATAACTAGGGACTGCAAATTCAACAGAGAACTTGTGTGCAACCTAAGGAGAGCAGTGGCTGACATAATGCTACAAAAGTGAATGTTTAAATAAGAAAAAGCACTGTTTTGCAAACTGGAAGATGTATTAAGAACAACATCCATTATCACCAAACTAATATTTGTATAAAATTTTTCAACTTGAAAAATTCCAGTGAGTTCAGAGAGATCAGGCCCCACCGCGGTGTACGGGAGCCATCTGCAACTGCCCCTAACCTCATGATGGGAGGCAAGCTGGGGTTTCATGCCTGTGCTCGGGAAACGACACCCTGTCTCTAGAAATTAATTTATTCTGGAGATGCAAGCCCTCTGGGACAGAGAAGGTGAAACACAGGAAAAAGGGAAGACTGATAATCTGCAAAACAAAGGCAAAAGCATAATTATGTTGGCCAAGAACATAAAGGCAAATCTATTTAAAAGTAAGAGTAAATTCAGGGCCCTGCTGGAGCCAACAGGAATGACCGAAGTCACTGTGTGCGGTGGGGAAAACATTTCATCCGTACAAAGAAACTTGATTTCTCCTCCTGTGCCCGCCATTTTAGGATGCCCCAACTGAGGGGACACCACACATCAGCAGTGCCCCTCACCTCCTCACTGCCAGCGATGCTCTCCTGGGAGGGAGGGCACGCATACTGCGTCCCACCATCAAGAGGGCAGGTTTAAGCAATCTGTCTGTGCTCCTTGGCTGCTTCTGATCTACTTCAAGGCGACCTTGACTCTCCCCTGTGATGGGATGTGGCACACGAAGCCTGGGGCAGTGCTGATATGGGAAAGAGTTACATCTCCTTTAATTCCTCCTGTCCGACCTTCTCCAGCGCTAAACTGAGCCAGCTGACGAGTCACATGGCTCTCTTCCTCCTTCACAAAAATTTCCCATAATACTCAGTTTTCTCATTAAAATTGAAGAATGTATGATGAATTCCAGGGATAATGAAACATAAAAGGTACAGAAGTAACAAAGCTTTTTATATTATCTAGTGCTTTTCAGACAAGAAAAGTATTAATTAAACCATTTGAAATCCCCAATGGATTAGGCAAAGTGGATATTTAACATTTTATTTTAACACTAACTTAATATTAATGAAATTCAATATTTGAGTTAAATTTCTCCATTATTATGTTTACATCAGAATTAGTCACTGGTAATATTCCCTGCTGGCTCTGAGCTCCAGAGCATCCATCTATTGTTTCAAAAATTGCGCTATATTTTTACCAGTATTCTGACACTGTACAAACATTGCCTGAGTTCACAAAAAAACAGTGAGACTTCTTAGGTGATGCTGAGTCACCCAAAATGCCTTGTTCATTTCTTTCAGTGAACACAGTGTTTTAAATGGATTTAAGTAATCCAATAAAAGCAAATGTGTCTTCTGTTACTTCTGTCATTCACTCAACACTGAGTTGCAGCTCCCGTCACGTAGACCCATTCCTCTTTTTCTGCTTATTAAATTGTGCATATGTGATTAATACCCACTCACCCAGGTCAGACCCTGTTTGCATGCTCGAAGGGCTAAGCAAGCATATACAGATAAAGTACCTCTAATTTTAGTGGAGAGGTAAATAAAAAATATTTATCAACAGCAGTAGCTAACACCTCACAGACATTTGTTCTCCTAGAGAGAAATATCTCAGCGTATCTCAGGGATCTACAGGGTAATTTCTGACCCTCTTAATGACAGGACTATAGCTTATTATTCCTGCATTTGCCCAGTTGCTGAACGTCCATCATAATTCCATGCAGAGACAGAGGTCTTTCTGGGGGTGTAAATGTTGCCACATTTTGATGATACAACTTCAAAGAAAACTGAAGGTTAGCTAATAACCTGAGCTCCAGCATTGCATGGATCAGTTTACAGAAGAAAAAAAAAAAAAAAAAAAAAAAACATTTATTGAACTAGCAGAACCATTTCGTCATGGTTGCAGATAAACACAGTGTACTTACAAAGGCTGCAAGACCTTCAAACTGGTCATAGTTAGAAACAACCTGATACTTCTTTCTATCTGCGACAAGTCTTGAAAGGACTTTATGATAAGTCAAAACCAGGGCATGGGTCTAGACTGAAGCTGCACTTTTTCATCCTTCTTATGGGCTCATTGCCTTTTTTTAGTCTTGTTGCTTCTTGGCTGACAACACTGTCACTATCACTGGCTCTCCTTGGAGTTCTCACATGTTTGTCTGGAGTTTTTAACAGTGGTGTTTGTCTGAGACTTGCTTTTAAACAGCAAGGATGGTGTATAATGCCCTCTCTCCCCTTCCTGCAATACCTATTATAGTTACAGAAGTACTGAAACAAAAATTGAAGTAAACAAGGGAGTATAAAGATGTGCTGACACTCACTGGCTCTTAAATAAAACCTGAGCTTCAGTAGGTAAAAGATGGAGGGGATGAATCTTACTAACAGTGTGGGAAGACCATTTCTGTCATTCAAAGTATACGGTACACATTTCTGCATGGCTTTTGGAGGTTAGATACTACATATTTTTCAGTGTTTCTATGTCGTCTTTACATTGTGGATGAGAAAAATCTACACTTCACCATGTAATTCCTGCTCTCAGTGCAGCACTCCTTTTCACCCGCCGCTCAAGTTTCCCTGAGAATGGCAGGTTAATTTCTGAGAAAGTAATACAAATCACCATTGTCGTTACTGTAATCATAGACTACAGCTTTGTGTAACTTTGTTTACTTACGTTATTTCCCTCTGCATTGTGGTTTCTGGAAAATGGATAGAAAGAGCCAAGCTGCATCCAGCGCAAGCAGAGTTCGTAGGTAGTGTCGTAGTTAAAGCCACAGATATCAGCACCAATCTGAAGAAAAAATAAAATAATTGGGTAAATGTTTGTGATTGTGGCTGAGGCTCAAATATGAGAAACTACAGAAGTTTGTTAATAAAAATAATTTTTTGAAAGAGATACCTATTTCTGATAACTTTATAAGAATTCTCCATAATCATACGAATTTTTCCAGAACTGAGATTGTACTGGCTCCTAGAGCATTAACATCACTGTGGAAGATCTGACTGTATTTCAATAATTCTACAAATTCTTCAGCCTAGCTTGCAAACCCAGAAATATATGGAGGGACCTCAGTGATAGAATATATAATATAAAGAGATCGGTTTTGGATGGCATGCAGTGATTTAATCTGAATCTAGCAGTGCTATTTTTGTTTCTCTTCAGCCAGCCAAGATTGATGACATTTAGCTTTTTTTAATCTGCAGTTCCTTATGCTGTGAAGGCTGTTACTGCTGGCCATCTCAAGCAGCTTATTTCAGAAAACATTCGAGTTAATTTAAAGTGATATTGTGTATGAGCCGGCAACTGCCTGAAGGACACCGGACTTACGTAGGGGATGCCAAAGAGGTTGAATTCCAGGATTCCAATGATTGACTGGTGCATGTCCTTCCATCGAGAGAAGTTGTCACCCAGCCAGTGACCCCCATGCTTCCCACTGCCAACGAATGTAGACCGACTCAAGACAAACGCTCTCTTTCCAGTTGCCTGCTGGGCAACACTGTGAAGAAATGCAACAAGACCATTAAAAATAAGAATGGTAACCAAAAGAGTCATATGATCAACCTGAGCTTTCAGGCACAATTTTATCTGAATGGGTGTTATTCATGAAACAATTGTTGTTGTGGTCCTGAGTCACATGAAAATGTGGCTGCAAAACTGCAAATAACGCGAAGTTTTACGCAGTGGCCAAAATAAAAATCTAATATCTATCTGATCCACAAAACAATTTATTTCAGGTATTTTTAGTCTTCCTAAAAAATAATTTGTGTTTAATTTATTCTCAACACTGTCTCAAACTGAAAAATTGAAACATAATTTGCTTTCTGTATTAGTACATTTAATTTAGTGTCCTACAGGTTCCTCAGAACCAGTATCATATGTATTTTTTTCAATATAGGATTTATTTAGAGATTCGTTTTGGCAAATGAAGTTGTAATATCCTGGAATTAAAATTAAAAAAAAAAAATCAAAACAATATCTAAACATCTTAAAGAAAGAAATAATCAATATAGAAAGCAAAAGTGTAATCATTTAAAATGTCACCCCATCTTTGTAGTATTTCCTCTGGTTTCCTGTCATTGTTTGATATATGAAGTTTCATTACAGAATTAGTGGTGTAAAGAATTTTTCCTTGCCTTTTGAAAATAATTTTGCTGCATCACCAGAAAATCAAGGAAGTTCATTATGCCTTATTAACAAATCTGTTACAAAATTCTTCAACACAGGATAATCTCTGTATGTAATTATATATTGCAATATTATATATTGCAGGAACTCAAATTCAGCTCTGCTTTAATACGATTTGGGCAACACAACTTCTCTGGGAAATCCTAGCGTGAAATATTAATCATGGTGTTCACCATCCACCTCCTTCTCCCTTTCCTTAATGAGATTTGATCGAAAGCTCTTTCATCCATATTCGTAATGGCCAATATTTGGTATTGGCTCTGTAATGGCACAGAGCCTTTAAAATGCTTCAACATTTGTTTCTGAAGCAAAAAACCCAACAGCTTTTATGCAAGCCTAAACATATTGACCTTATGGGCCATATGCAGCAAGAGATGCAATTCTTGAACCACGCGGGACCTGTTGGTTCTGGGTTGTAGGAGCACTGCTGGGCCCAATAACTGCACAGGACTTCATGTGCTTTGTGGCATAAATTCATTCATGTGCATAAATGGCATTTTGGAGCCATTTCATAGATGTCCTGAGTATGAGTCCTCTCCTCTGTCTGTGCAGCACAAGTCTTTGGCTCCATTTGAAAATGCAGGCAACATCAGATCAACTCAACTATGACCCAGAGCTGCATAAACAATTTGCAACAAGTGATTTATTGAACAAATTTCAATCTATTGTGAACCATTGCCAAACAGGTCCTAATGTCGTCAAATGTATTTGTTGATTGAAATTATTTACAGAATATCACGTGCAAATAACTCTTGGCGTTAAGCTATGCATAAGCTGATTGCTGCTAGTTCACATATCCGAATTCAAGCCATTTGACATGGGTCAGATGACACATTTCCTATTCTCTGGCTGCATTAGTTCTTAGAATTGTTTTTTATATGATTATGAACTTGTCATTCATTTTTAGCCAATATCATACAATTGATGCTCGTTTGCTAAATATTCCTGTCAGCAATTTAATTTAGTATATTATTTGTGAAGAGCGAATGTAGAAATTGTATATAACCAGCTTTGAAAAGAAATGTTTGAGAAACCCAAATGAATATGTATGAAAAACTCTTCACTGAACTTCCCCAGCTTTGCAGCGAATCCGGCCTCTGCTTATGCTTTTGGTGCTGTTCCCCAGCCTTGAAGGACTCTACATTTGGCTGAGCAAAATATGTGTTTCTTTTGGAAGGAGCCCTGGAAGCAAACACTGCAGGAACGGGGAAGGTTCACAGCCCTGGGGGAGGCTGCAAGGAGCCGTGCAGCAGTAACCGTCCCAACAGCGTTGGTCCAGGTTAGCGCAGCCGGGACAGAGTGCACACTGAAGGGGCTGGGGCAGATGTGCTAAATTCACAGGGTTTGTCTCAGGCAATTGGCTTTGCTGGCACAGAGCCTGAATAAAACTCAAAAAACAGCTCAAGAAGATAGGCAAATCCAAAGTCTCTATTCAAACAGTGTTACCAAGACAGTATATGGTTACATGGACCCCAGTGTGCAGAGGACAAATCCCAGTGGAGAGACCAGTGGTGGGAGGACCTTTGCTGAGATTGGGGAGTAGGGCCCCAAAAACCGTGCTAAGTCCCATGCATCCTAGCTGGGCTGGGTGGCCAGCAAAGTCCAGGGTTCAAGGGCTTTCTGCTCCTTCTCTCGAAAGCTGGACTGCTCTTCAGCCAGGCCCACAAGAGCTGGCAAACTGCTTCTGGCTTTTACCCAGTGCTTCCCTTTCCCAGGCTTGGTGTATAAAATACAAGGGCATCAATACCATAAGTAGGCTCACTTAGCCATGTCCTCTGGATGCTATCACAATACAACTGCTGAAAATGAGTGCTAAATATTGAAATAAGTCAGCACAAGGACCCCTGCTTTGGCACTTACATGGTGGTATTAAACGTATCCATGTTTTAGCTCAATCTCTGCTGGAAAAGGCACGATTTGCCCATTTGATTTAATCCAACAGCTAGCTTTCCGCTGTCACTCCAGCTTCACAGCAACAGCCTGCCTGCGTAAGCTAGTTTTGAGTGCTCCCCAGCTGCAAAATGAATTTTACAGTAGCCAACAGCAACTGTGCTGCAATGCAGCTCTGCCCTCCTGGACCGACTGAGCCCCAAGCCAAAATGCAGAACGCTGCCTGCCAGGAACCAGAGGCAGCTCCAGAAGCAGCCGGGGGAGCTGTGCAGTTCAGATCCTTTACTGGCAGTGACAGAAACTCCTCTGCTTGGGCCACAGTAACGAAGGGATGGAAAAATTCCCCTGACGCCACTCAGGGCTGCTTCTGCAGCAGCTGCACGGGAGCAGCTCTACCGGAGGACAGGAACATCTTGCTTTAGCTATACAAAAGCAGCAGCTGAAGAGTTAAGCCCTACAAGTAGATCCTGATTTTAGCTAAGAAAAGTAAAATTGGAAGAGATTCTGTTTCTTCTTCCAAGATTCTCTTTTCTTGAAACTTCTTATTAAATGACAAACAGTAAAATGAAGCATGGGGCTGTTCCTTATTAGATACTATCACTGATTTCCCAGGCAACATCAGCAGCTTTTAAAATGTATTTCAATCATCTGAAATCTGCTTAGAAATACTTAGAAAACTTACTGGAAAGTTGGTGCTGTCTGTGACCAGCCGAAGAGAGAGTGTGTGTTATAATGCTCTCCAAGGTAAGTCTTGGAGTCGGGACACAATGTCTTTTGCGCCAGGGAACGATCAGAAATGCCTGAGAATGATACAAAGCACTGTAAAATTGTATACATCACAATTCAAATCTCTTCATATTTCTACTCATTTAGGGTTGAAAACACCAAAGAAAGAAGAAAAACTGAAGAAGTGCCTGACCTGCACTGATTAGAGGTTAGCATGTAGCCATGAATACCTGCTTGCAGACAGGCATACGTGTCCTCAGGAGGGTGAGAGGACTGAGTAAACGCTGCTAATTAATTTCAAGTTTTATGTCCAATAATTCAAAACATCTGTACAGATATCACGTATTCAGTAAGTAATAGCCAGAAAGAAAATTTCTGCATTGCTGAATTAAGAATACAGCTACATATTCATCTACATAGTGATAAATTTTACTTAAGAGCAAAAATGTTGCAAGAAAAAAAAAACAAAACCAGAAATTCAAACGCCCAGGGAATTTGTATGGTTGTGTGAAATCACAAGACCTTGGTTTGCATATCACTCAGCTGCAGATGCAGGTAGGCAGCACAATTCTGCCCTATCATAGCAAAATTCACACCTAAGCTCAACTCTGGCCCCTCTCTTCCCCTGAGGCGTTTAGGACTAAAAGACAGCAGGACTAATGGCACAGCCCCAAGCGGCATTGCGAGCGATGAGTGGGGAGTGTCGGAGGTGCGCAGAGGAGGAAAAAGCATAAGGTGCAGCAGTCCACAGGGTGTCATCTGCTACGGCCTGATACTCTGCACAGAAGAGAGCAAGGACAGATTATAATGGGTACATTCACATGTGGATGCGTTATCTTTCTCTTTCTATCAGCAGATCACAGGCAGCAGCTTTTCACCTCAGTAATAGTCAGGGGTATCCCTGACATGGCTGGCACAGCACCGGTTCAGCTGAGCCAAGGGGAAGCACTATGAGGCACAAACTGGCTGCACAGATGCTGCCTGGTCTTTGATCCCATATTAAGGACATGCTGGCAAAGCCCATTTGGTGTGGAAAATGTGATTCTCATCCTCTGCAGGTAACCTCCACGAAAATGCCATTTGAAGTTTAGCAGGAATTGGGCAGGTCAGATGTTTGATTTATACAATATATTTCTTTTTAGAGATGGGGTTGAAAATGTTATAAAATCCTCTCAAAAAAAAAAGAAAGAAGGTAGATTCTCAAATATTCCTCTTTTGCATGCTTTATTAGTTGCACACACTATTGTAAATATTTCTCTGTGAGCAAGCAATCTCACTGCCTAACCGCAATTTACTGTATGTTTGCAGTTCGTTACTACAAAGTGCATTTCTCTGTACCTGAAACCCCATTAACCTCTCTGCTCTGCTGTGCCGCCACAGCTGGAATCTTTGTGTTTGGATCTTTAGACACAAAGACTCCAGTGTGGCTGATCTGCATCAGAAATAACTTAATTTATAGGCAATTTCCAAGTAACTTTGACTGATATGGCTTTAAAGAAGACCTAAGGTTCTGGGGAAAGTCACACTTAAAGTCCCAGCAGCAGGGAAGGCCATTTTTCTAGTCCTGTTACAAGGCAGCCCCAGTGACAGAGGAAAGTGGCTTATGTTTGATACTCCACCAAAGCTGAGCCAATGGAGTCTTGAACAAATATGTAACTGAACACATAAGACAGGCATGGAAAGATGGAAAACAAGAGGATGGGATTTTTTTCTAAGAAATAGCCTATCCAGGATTTTAAAAAAAAAAAAATTGTCAAGGAAACTTTACTTACTAGGAACGTAAGGAGGGTTATTGATATCATTAACAGCACATCCAGGATACTGGCCTCTTAAGAAATTGGACGGTTCATTCATATCCTTTAATAAAGAGAGTAAGACACATGTTAAAAGCCTCATTTTCTTTTTTTTAAAAGAAGGGAGGGCAAACATAATGAGACATACAATCCAGATTCCATCGTAGTCAAGGACATCCTTAAACTCCAGACACATCTGGGTCCACCACTCAACTGTCCTGGGGTTGGTGTAGTCAGGAAACACCGAGTCTCCGGGGGGCCAGGCCTGGAGTTCACAGGTATAATGCCTGGTTATCTTCTCATTTTGGTTACATAGCTGCTTTATCACTTTGAAGCAGCACTAGACCAAATCCATCAGAGAATTTAATAAACCAACCTTTCCAACAGCAGGGGTTATGCCATCAGAGTTGTTCACCCAGACTCCCATTTCCTCTCCGAGATCATAAGGCCTGTAAGTGCCTGGTTCTTCATCCTTAGTTATGAAAGGGTCCTGAAAACAGTGATTACACTTCCATTATTGAAATCCCAAAGGTAACAATTACTTTTCTATTTGTATATTTTAGAAAAATGTGGGTTATGTTCTTAATGTAGATTGCAATAATATTGGAAGAAAAGAGCATTAAAATTTAATAAGAGTTGAGAGCACATAATAAGTTAGGAAAAGTCATTAAAGATATGTCGTATTTCTTGTATAAGGCAAAAGTGATGTGAAATTATTAAATACCTTCATGTTTATTTTTTATGAGACATTCTATGTTCAAATGATTTTAGAGAGGCTCTAGATTTTACTTTCGCCCCTGCCAAGGTCTCTGCTTGGCAGAGCCGGGTGCCACGCTGGACATTCTGACACTTGGACACCTCTGGGTTTCCTCCAAGGCAATCCTCATTCCAGCTGCCTCAGCATCAGCAGCTTAATGCTGGAATACCTAAAACTTCTCAAGGGGCTTGAAGCTGGGACACATCCAACCTCAAAAGGACCTTGTTAGCCCTCCCTTCAGATCCAATGTCAGACAAGAGTGTTTTATGCCAGTCTGGTGCAGAGTAACCCAACTCATGCATGCCTGCGGGGCCATATGTCTCTGTTCTCCCCAGGCGTGAAGACCACAGTGTTTTACACCCCATAGCTCGTCCTTACTGCCCCTTTCACTGCTTGGGGTGATCACCACCTCCCATTGCTGCCAGTGGCATTGACACCACCAACTTCTCTGCCTCAGGATGGCCATCGGTAGCCACCAAGCTCATCAAAAGGGAGCCTAATCTGCTCCTGGGGAAGATAGAGGCCCACCATGCCAATAACTAATAAAGTTAGGAATACTTTGAGATGGCAGTGAATGAAGAGATACTATTCAACTCTGCTCAGAAGTTAACTGGAACTAAAAGGAGATAAGTGCGCTTTGCAATATGTCCCTAATTAGGAGCAGCTATCTGCTTTGTGTTATTTAGAACAGAGGAAGATTGTAGCCATTTTAGAAGGGAATTCTTTACTTTTCTCTTAGAAAATATTATTAAACACAATGGAGAAAAACACCACTGAAACAATTCTTCCATTCACTTATATCTTGTGCAACAAATTAAGTGAACTTTAATTAAAATATGATAGATGTCTAACTAATAAACTTCTTAAGAACAAAAAATATCTGATCCCAAATGGTAAATTTCTTTAAAGGCATGTTTTAAAGCTCATTTTAATACCTAAATTAATTGCCCAATTTACTTGTAAGCCCTCTGATAGCTATAGCCCTGGTGAGGAAAGTATATTCTTCCATGCCTCAAAAACAGAAGCCCCTGCTAAATCCCTACCTTAAGTACAAAATTCTGTTAAACTTTAACTATCTAGCTGGGGTGTCACCTCCATAAACAATATAAGTGTCCATTACATTTTTAACTTGTTTAATAGTTCAGCTTGGAAAAGAGAAAACTGTCCATCTGCAATAATTATCTTATAATTGTGGAAAAGATGTCTCTCAAGGGGCTTGAAGGCTGGAAGAAGTCAGCTTAATTAGCTACTCCTAACCCAAACTTCTGGTTTCCTTTAGCTGAAAGGTTATTCCAGTGCATAAATCTAATATATTATGCAGGTTTAGTATCGTCCTAAAGAGAACAAAACCCTCCCGTGCATTCACAGGTTGTTTGTGGGGAAGGAAGTTCTTGTCTGTTAAATCTTCCCTAACTCATCTTTTTAGCAGCTCTTGGAGAGGAGGTGCTGAGCATCTTTAACTCCAACTGACTGCCCTAAGACCTGGGGGCACCCAGCACTTATCCAGACTGATGCACTTCCACCTATGGCCCCAAACGTAGATTTTGATGCACATCCATAAAAACTCATCTTTGGAAATTCTTGCCTCTAGAGCTCATAGAGCTGGACTTTAAAATGTTAAAGCTATCAAGCACTATTTTGAATCATGAGCATGTTGCCATTGACTTTTGAGTAAGTTGTCACTCATGACATTCTTAGCTGTTTCTATTTTTAGTGTGATTTAACGGAAGGTATAGAAGGTCTTTCATTAAAGCTCCTCTTCAGTAATAATATTTATCATTTTACATTGTAGTCGTTGTTACTTCTAGAACTTCTTTCTTTGTTTCTAAAGAATACATTTGTTCTGACTCAGCTGAAGCATGCACATTATTCAACGCAATAGTGATGACCAAGTACTGACACTCTCAGACAAAGTTTCCCTTAAATGGAGGTGGCCTCTGAAAGAGATCAGGATAGAGAAGTGTGGAAGGACTGCCTTTAGAGACTCTGGTAATGGGGCCATGCTACTATCAAGGTGGCCATAGGCACAGAGGGCTCTCAGCATTGGATGCAAGCGTGGGGACTGGACTTCCTGACGGTGAGGCACCAGCCAGCCCCGCGGTGGTGACACAACCGAGTTCAGGGTCCCATCCTCAGGCAAGTTACCGGTGTTAATGCTGCTGGCAGTCAGGATCTGCACTTTGCTTGTGACCATAGCAGTATGAGATGAGGAGGACAGAACCCATCTCCCCCAAATCCATTTACTAGAGGTTTTACATGACACTAAGTGTCTGCAATCAGAGCCCATTTTCTGAAATCATCATGAGGGAGGCAACAATCTGCTACACTTGAGGAACTCGCTCATTACTGTCACTACCCAAAGGGAATCTAAATAGAAAATTGTTCTTTCGGTATCAAACTGGATTACACTTGCCTTGATTGCAGTTAGCATGGCTTTGCTGTCACTTGGGAATGAAATCCTCCATACTGTTCCAGCTCCTGACTCAACTTATGGGAATGCTTTACATCATTAAAGAATGCTAACAGTCAGAGTTTGACAGAAATATCAGCAACTATAATAAAGTGAAAACAGAATACTTCACTGTCAGTGCAACCTATACTTCCCATTAGATTTTAAAAAAATTGAGGTCAAACTGGATCAGCTTTTGTCCTTTTTCACAAACTTACCTAAAGAACAAGAGCAGAAGACGGTCCTCAACTACAGGTTAGTGGAAGAAGGAAAGAAGGGCTTCCTAACTGGATTCCCATTAGTTCATTGCATGAATTAAGAATTGTTATATTCCTTGCATCTGCCTAATAGCTGAATTTAGATTTACATAGCAGCAGCTCCTTGCACTGCTCTAGCATGTGCCATCTGAGAAACTGAAAGGGCTTTAAAAATGTTGTTGAAGTTAAACTCACAAGTAAGGAGATAACATAGCTCACCCATTAAACCGTGACTGCTTGCCTGTAGCTTCTTACCCAGCAGCAAGTGCAAAACAACTGGAGGCATCCTAATTTTGATGAAAAAGAGGTGACTACCTTGTATTTACTGAAGGGCAAGAGTGTGCACAGGCAGAGCTACCACAAACTCATGGTATTTTGCTGATATATTCATGTCTTACAAACGTTTTTGAAATAAACCAATAAATAGGCAGGTGGCGTTTAATGTTACACCTCTAAGAGAATAGATATTTTTTAGAGCAGTATTAAAGATACAGGGAGCCTAAACTGCCTAATAGTTGGAAAGAGCACTCAGTCCTGGCAGCACATGCTCATCTACAGCTTGGTTGGTTAGTTATTTACAATGATGTATGCAGTTAATTTTGGACTATTTTTGTCTTGAAGTTGCTCTCCATCAGATTGACTTAGTGATCTGTTACTGTTTAAACTCTGTGCCTTGGACCTCCGCTGATGGAAACTGTTTTCACTGCTGCACCCTGGAGTTTCTCATGATTTACAGCTGCAGAAGAACTGGGACCTTCATGGGAATGTATCTTTGAGGACAAATTGCTGGCAAACAGTGCTCACTACATAGGCTGCTATTTCCATTATCAATATGTAATTGATTACTTGAGCTGTGTGGTTGTTTGAGATTCCTAGCAGCAAATGCAATTATGGTACAATAAAGTGAAGATTAGGCCAATAATAAATACAAAGCAGGTATTTTTAATGAAACTACCAAAAAAAAACCCAGCAGACTGAAGAACAGCAAGCCTCAACTGTATTTTAAAAGAAAATATTGATATGGGTATCTGTGGTGCTGACTAGTCCATCCTCAGTCACATGCTAAACTTTACAACAAATTGTGGAGGAAAAACTAAGGACAGGGAGGCACTTCTGACTTAATCTATCTATTTGACAAGATAATGGGGTTTTCAGATGAGGAAACTGCAGTGGCTCATGGTTATCTTGACTCGGGTAAACATCTGGTACACCACCACAAGTGAAAGAGGAACTGTCCCACAATTTAGGACTCTGCTATTCACTTTCTCTTCCCACAAGCCTTTGACAGGACCCCCATGACAGGATGAGGAATGTGGCCCTTATTTTAAAAGGACTGGATCAACCTAGGGCCCAAACATTAGAGGCCTGTCCATTATGATTCAGCTGTATTAATTGGTCTCCTTACAAGTATGAGCCACCAATATAACGTAGATAAATGCGATGCAGGGCTTTCTCATGAGACAATTTTTAGCAGAAAGAAGGAAATATTTCTGCCATTCTTCAGACACTGTGGGGGCATCATATGGAGCACTGTGAAATCCAGTTATCTGCTACACAGGCAAACGCATTCAAACTGAGGCACATATGGGGGAGAGCTACTACAATGAGATCTGAAGATCTCACCCAATAAAAAGAATAAAATACTTTAGTTTGTTTAGCTTAAGAAAAAAGGCTGAGGGAGAATACGCTTGTTTGAATAAGTATATCAAGAAAGAAAGTAGAAGGACGAGAGACTGGCAGTTTGAGGCAAATAAGAATAGTAGCACCCAAATGAAAGGTGTAAGCTGATCGTTTAGGCTGGAAAATAGAAGACTGCAATTACAGCAAAAAGTCCTGAGAGGGACTCTGTGGGATTGTCTCCTCCTCCTTCCCCTGTGGGTCAGCTCAGCCGAGCCATCCCTGATGCATCTGTCAGAGCTGTACGCAAGACCCGCTCGGGGAGGGACCCCTGGCCCCAGGCAGCCGGCTCCCTGCTCAGCTCACCTTCAGAGAGGCAGCGTTATCCTAATGTCTACCTTAAATCTTTTCTGCTGCAATTTAAAGCACTTTTCTTCTTATCCTGTCCCTAGTGGTTACGGAGAACAAATTACCCCTCTCTTCTCTGCAGCGACACTTCACACCCTGCGTGCGCTGCTCCAGGTCTCGGTACTCCTGAGCCTTCCCACCCCGACCCTTCCCAGGCGGCACGACTGCCCCAGCCTGCGCTGGGGAGCGCAGCCCTCCTAGTACTGCGCTGCTGGGGGGGCCTGGAGAGCGAGGTCTTATGCATCTATCAAGGACTTTTATTTAATTTCTTAATTTATTTAATTTTTAATTTACATTTCAATTGGTCTCCAATTTGCTTGCCACCATTGGCACACACTTAGCTATTGTGAGAAAGAGTAATTTCAGCACAAGGACATGTATGGGGACTTGCTGGAGAGACACAGCAAACTTTGTTGGAAAAATTGATGTGTAAAGATGGAAAACTCCGATTTTCGCTTCTGCCCAAATTAATTTGTTTGGTCATATGTCAATTTTGGTTACAGGTTCAACATACTTTTTCCACAAATTTTCATGCAAACAAACATCTCTCACATTTATTTAGATAAAAAGTAAATACAAGGCATACTAGCTTTCCAGAGTGGTTATGAATAGATTTTTTTTTTCCACTATTCAGCTATTTTTGTGTGCATATTAAACTAATTTGTTTATTTTCAGGAAAAGAATTGCATGAAAGCAATCCTGTCTCAAGTCAGCTCTGAACAGTGGCAAAATTTCTCATAACTGAGTGGGAAAAAGTGAAAGAGAATTAATGTTGTGGTATAGAGATGGTGCTGGTACACAGATATCTGATAAATGCAACATACGTAAATATGAAATCTGTGATAAATTGTTCTCTAGCCAAAACCAGCACATCAGCAAATGACAAAAATGGAAAATCTGCTGCAATATCATGCATGCATTAGCACCTAGATACTGCTATAAACACTATGCTGCAAATAGTTCTTATAAATGGAGAAATAATTAACAACATCCTTAATTTACCAGAATCACGACATTGTGCATTCCTTCCTTCTTCAGCTGTTGGAGGTACTCTGGCAGACCTGCATAATTCACTTTATCATAGGTAAAGTCCAGGCGACGTTCCATGTAGTCAATATCAAGATGTTGGACATCCTAAACATTTTTAAAATAAGCATTACATGAGTACTTCATCCAGCTCTGGAGTCCTCAGCACAGGAAAGACATGGACCTGTTGTTGGAGTGGGTCCAGAGAAGGGCCACAAAAGTGATCAGAGGGATGGAGCACCTCTGCTATGAGGAAAGGCTGAGAGAGTTGGGGTTGTTCAGCCTGGAGAAGAAAAGGCTGCGGGGAGACCTTATTGCGGCCTTTCAGTACTTAAAGGGGGCTTATAAGGAAGATGGAGACAGACTTTTTAGCAGGGCCTGTTGCGATAGGACAAGGGGTAATGGTTTTAAACTAAAGCGGGTAGATTCAGACTAGATATAAAACACGGAAACAGGTTGCCCAGAGAGGTGGTAGATGCCCCATCCCTGGAAACATTCAAGGCCAGGCTGGATGGGGCTCTGAGCAACCTGATCTAGTTGAAGATGTCCCTGCTCATTGCAGGGGGCATGGACTAGATGACCTTTAAAGGTCCCTTCCAACCCAAACTATTCTATGATTCTATGATTGAAGTATTTGATACAGAAAATGAGAATGTATGCAACTGCATTTCTAAAAGGTAACTAACATATGAAATGAAACCTAAGAGATTGGCTATAATAATTGTAAATAATTGTTAGGCCAAATTCAACTTCTGTAAACTTACATAGTATCAATGGACAAAATGGAAACGTAGAAGTCCTAGCTTAGCAACTGTTTGGCAGTGATATGCATCAGAAGTACCATAATTTATTTTCAAAATGCTAGCACCTCATACTGCATAACAGCAAATCCACACCAGAATCACCTGCTATGCAGCCAAGAGCAATACTTAAATCTTGTGTTCAAAGCCTGCTTTAAATGTTCTTTTAAGCATTATAAAAATATTACATGCAAAAAACCACTACATAAGATTATGAACATCCTTTTATTCTACAGTTCTCTTTGTAGGATAATCACTTTTCCTCTATTATAATTTCATTCATCTCACTTTGGATTGTAAAATTAGCAGACACAGTGAAAAAATCATACTTACATATGGGATATCATAGTAGTGCATGCGATCAACAGTTTTCTTTAAAACATCAATGTTGCCATAACCCCATCGGGAGAGGTGAAATCCCAGAGACCAGTAGGCAGGCATGTGCGGGCGTCCAATGGCCTACAGCAGGAACAGAAATGCAAAGGGTGAGATGAAGGGAAGTTATTCTGAAACACCAGGAGAGGCTCCCAGCCCGTTTAAGCCACTAAGATCAGGGCACAGGTATCACACACCCATGAAATACTCTTTCCTTTCTCAGAATGGCCCACTGTATGGTATGCTTGGCTTCAAAAAAGCGCTTCTCCTGGTGGACCCTTGTCCTTAGCAAAGGCTCTGAGTGACACCCACACTGAGCATCACTTCTAAGAACACCCCAGTGGAAGACATGGTGTATAAGACTCAGGCTAATGTTAAATGAGGGTCTTTCTGAGGTCTCAGCCTCCGCACAGTAGGAAGTGCCTTCACTTACGCAGCACGTGCCAGCAGAAACCCAGTGTGGAGCCTTGCACCACCTGACCCATGCCAAGTCCACAAACCCTTTGGTCAACAGCAGGCAAATCTCCAACGCTACACAGCAACGTCAGCTTTGCTAATTTCTCTTGCTGCACCCAGCTGAACTAACTCATCAAGAGTCTGATGTTTATTTGAGCTCTCTGAAGTTTTAATTATGTTTACACACCACCCTGATGAAATTCAGTTACTTATGACTGACTGCTCTTATTGCTGGCCCACAGCATTGTGTTGCCAGGCATTGACAAACCTCTTCAAGGTCAGAGTTACTGTTTAGTCCCAAAATTCTCAACTGAAACACAAGGTAATGAGTTAAATATGATTTTATAAATATTTGATTTCCACTGGCTCCACATAATCCAGCTGTAAATTGCATGAGGAAACTCGATTGAGAGCACAGGGGAGTGAGGCATCCTGCTCTGCTTCCCCCGGTGAGAGCTGCTCTGGCAACCTGGGACAAGCAGCAAGGAACCACCATGTGTCTGTTCTAGAAACAAGCTGAAATCTGGTGTTGCCTCATTAGTACACACTGGTGTTTTCTGGGGGACATCTCTTGAAATCCTTACTCCAATTTTAAACAGTTAGAGCCCATGAAATTAGCCTTTGTTCAGTATTTCTAACATCCTTGCAGGCAACACATGAAAATCAAGTAGCTAGTAAGCACCCATGACTTATTAATCAGTTGCAGCTATTGACTCTCTTTGGCTAATTAACTGTTCCTCCCTTGTTTCCTTGTGGATCTCCACAGTTAGGTAATTATGCTAAGTGAAAAAGAACAAAACTTGCATATTGGCAGCTAAACCCCATCTACTTTAATTAAACAAAACAAGGCACTGCTGGCACTCTATATCTATTGCATTGCTAAGCTCTCTAGAGATCGCAATGCATAAAGTCACATCTTCCTATGGGATTTTCTCCAGTAAGAGTCTGACCTGGGAAAGCAATGCTGAACTTGAAATTGCTCTAAACTACATCACAGATGGAAGAGCTGGTGGGATGTGCAGACTGCACCAGACAGAAAGACGGATGGAGGAGAGAAGTGGGGAAAAGCAAAGGATGTTTTAATGCACACCGGGTAACTTGCTTCCAAACAAGAATGGCTTGTGAACAGACAGACAAACTTTAAGCACTAAGTATTACGAATTTGGCTACACAGTGTGCGTTCACTTGTTGGGATGCTGCTGCCTCACCTAAGAAAAAGCAGGAGGAGGCCAGAACAACTGGTGAGGTTAATGGTTTGAGTTCCTCCAGGAGGGATGCTCCGGCTGAGCAGCACAGCTGCCCCATACCTCTGCTACTCATCCCATTTAACTCTTTTCACCCTCCTCAACACCTACTTCACCTCCAACTTAGGTGGAGGCTAAGCCCTTCAGAGGAAGCAAGAGCAAGCTCCTGACGCAGCTGCACTTAGCCTTTGCTGCACGCCGCTGTGCACTTGCTGGGAGAGGCCCTGGACAGACGAAGGTGGCTCCCTGCCACGTAGGGAGAGACCAGTGGGCAGGGATGTGCCGTTGCCACCACAGTGCAGTCTTGTCTGGTTACAGGTGTCATTAGTTATTTCCAGCTTGCGTGGACACACTTGATCCCCCAGACCATCTTTCAAGCTTTGCTGGGGTTTCCCATGGAGAGAGAATGGCGCACGATGGCTGGGGAGGATCTCCTGGACACCCTGCGAGCCGGCACTGAGTTGTCCAGAGCACAGCAAACCTCAGGGCAAGATGTCTGCTTCTCTGTCACAACTGCACTCACCATATTAAGGATAAATTCATCTGAGGAGACAGCAGAGCTTGGTTTAGACCAACCAAGACTGCAAGATGAGCTTGTGAACCCAGCACTTTGTGCTCCTAAAGCAGATGCACATTTTGCCCTTGCTTTCTCTGCTGTAAACAGAGAGTGACCTCTACAAACAAGGTTAAAAAGACAGACCAAAACAAAGGAACTCCCTAATGAAATAAAATGTTTTGTGCATAGGCTTCTCCCCTGGGACAAGAGGAAGAGGGAAAATCAACTGATAAATATTAATCCTGTGGCTGACCGCAGAGCCCAGTGCCGTGGCAGGATGTCTGCGTGGCATCCGCTGCCTCTCCCCGGGCAGGCTGGGGAACGGGAACCACCACGGGGGTGACCAGCCTGGGCAGAGGCAGCAGGAGCTGCTGGACAGCCCTGCTCCGGGTCCTGTGATACCCCAGGTCGCTCCTGGCTGGGGAGGACAGTCAGCCTGGGACATCGCCAATACAACATGGTTCAAGAGCTGGATTGGGATTTGCTTCTGCCCCCATGTCCTATCGAGCACCCAGGTGGACACCAGCGGGGCTGGAGGTGGAGCTGTGGCCACTGGTGTGCTGGCCAGGGTCCTTCCGAAAGGGCACGTCCCTGGCGCTGGCGTTTGCTGAGGTTCAGCTGCTCCCCCTTATGTGACGGTACTGTCTCGCCTGCGGACTGCGGAGCTGCCCCACGGCAAGTCAGTATTTCATGACAGCATCCCTTGAGGAGTCTGGGATTCCAGCTGAACTAACTGAAGAAAATCCACCTTGCAAGCAAGATATTAAGTTTTAAAGCAATTAGTTCCCCAGGTTCACCAGGCTGGCGCATCTGTGGTGAGCTTAATTGAAATCAGCAGAACATCTGAAGAGGAAGGATGAAAACAGGGCAGCTGGGAAAACAAATGTTCTTTTTTCTATTTATGCTGCGGACTCTCTCTAATGGATCCCCCTGAAGCTTCCTGATAAAGTAACTGGCATATGGTACCTACTCGCAGATGGATCAGCAGAGGCAGGGATGTAATTTTGCAAACCTGAAAACTCATGTTGGATTTGATATATATTTAGGATCTAGTTAATTCATATAGATTGCATTCTGCATACAAATGATCATAAAATGCAGTAGGCAGAGAAAGCCTGCTTGGCAGAATTGACTCCCATAGAATCAGAAAAGGTAAATGAGGTATGGCAGGGGAGGAAAACAGGAGAAATGCAGAAACAGCAAACATATGGGGTATCTAAACTGAGAAAAAAAATGGGAAGATATGGTAGTACAGAAGCAGAAAAAAAAAATAGATCCTATTTTCTCTTCCACAATTCCTCCTGCACTTGGTTCTTAAATAACTCCTGGTGTTGTTTAATAAATTCACTGTTAGTTTTTCCAGGTTTACATAACCTGGCATTATGTAATTTTTTTTTCACTTTTTTCAGATGCACCTGAGAGCTGATGAATCTAGGAGGTACCCTTGAAGCGTTTTGCAGTAAGAACAAAGTTCAGTGAAATAATGTATATCTAACAGCTAAAATCTGTGCCCAGGGAGCAGGTGATCTGTATTCACTTTTCCTGTGTTGGGTTATTGGACAAATAACATTATTACTATGCGCATCAAGAATATCAACTAAGTTATAAATGCAATGTAGTAAATCAGGATCCTATTCTATTAACACTGTGACCAAAGACTTTGATGTGAGAGAGACAGCTGAACAGTTATGCCCTATATAACTGAGGCTGTAGAGAGGGATACTCTTTCCTATGTTACAAAGGAGCTGAGATCTCCAGCAACGCAGATACAGGGGCTCAACATGAAAGACTGCTAATCTTGCACCCTAATTAGCCATATAAAATGATTCTTGAAGCTTGATATTTGCTTAAACTTCCTTTCTTTAAGGAAGAGCTGTAGGAGGAAACTATAAAAGTCGAAGTGGGCTAATGCTCTGCATTTAGACACAGAAATAGTGTGTTTGGATAGTCACAGAGTTGCTAAATTATACGGGTGCTCCCGTGGCCCAGATATCTGTATCCAGCTCATCCCCTATGGCTGAGGCAGGCAGGCGAGTGCTGTGGGCACCTAGTCAGGCAGGGGGTAACCTTCACTGAAAGTCCATGCACAGAAGCTGAACTTTGTTTTAGGAGAGCAAGAAGAAAGTGCAAAAAAAAATGCTGAACCATTAAGAAGATGCTCACAACCTCAAGAGTCTAAAAATTTTAAGGACTTTTAATGCCAAGGTCTTCAAACCTTGTTCTTTGCTGCACAAACACTTATCAGCTGCTTAGTCTTTCTTGGGGGAACCCCTGAATTCAACTGCAAGACTCTCACTGAATCCTCTGTGATAAACTGTAGGTACAAGCAGGTTCCTCAAGTTACCTCTCAAATAGGAGGCTGGACTAGAGACCTCCTGAGGTCCCTTCCACCCAGAACTACCCTACAGTTCTGTAAGGAGGAAGTAAACCAGCAATTTGCTCTCAAAACAGAATTAGGAGACATGCAGTATGCGCTCTCAAAGCTTGTCATCAGATAATTTGTGGTAAAATAACAAATTCATGGCCTTCAACCCAACAGCTGTTAAATGTCCATTTGTTGAATTATAACTTTCCTGAGTGTCTTGTTATGGAGCTCATACACTACTGCTACGCAGTGTTACTCTGTCCTGAAAGGCCACTAGTGAACTTGGCAATGGTGGTCTGGTATTAGGTCTGGCTGTAGAGCCTCAGCTAGGCTCAGCTCAACAGCTGAGCTCTTTAGCTTATTACTGCTTTTTCCCACCCTCCCGCAAACTGAGGCGTTTGCCATAAAGAGTGAGATTTGTGTTATATAACTGTTCCGCACACTGGACCTCTTCTGTAGTAGGAGAAAAGTGTGGTTACTGTCAAATATATATATAGCTGTGGCAGGATCATCTCTGATGTGCCAGGAGCAGTGCTCCTCACGGCTGGGCTCAGGGACAGGAGGGAGCAGAAGAATCAGGATGGAGATTGCTCCTTCCCATTGCACGATGCCCAGCACATGCCCTATCGCTGCCTTCACTGCTGTAGCACTGCGGTGCCGCTGGCAGGATGCGTCCTACAACCCATCTCTGCTCTGTGCAAGATGCAGCAGGGGGGACGGAGGCACCGGCATTCAGCCCCCTGCTCCCTTCCCACTCCTGCATCGCCCTTGGAGCCCATTTAAAGCAGGTTAGCCTGGGCCAGGCTGGCGCCCTGGGCCACCATGGCTTTCTCTGCCACCTGTCCTCACCCGGAGGATGCACAGAGAGGGTGGTGGCCCTGGCAGGGCAGCTGCAATTATTCCTGATCCCCACGCAGGGAGCCCCACTCTTGGCACAGCCCGGCTGCCCCCAGCTGGCCACACAGCAGCGGCTCCGGGCAAGAGCCTGTGGGCCACCCCTGGGTGCTGGCAGCCACCTGCAGAGGTGCACGGGGAAAGCTTCCGTACTCCAGAGACCCAGTAAAGAGCTTCATTACAAAGCTGTCCTAACTCACTGTTTTGGAGGCAGCTGCATAAAAGCACTGAGCAGCTCTCAGCTCCTAAATCTTCCACAGAAACACTCATGGCAGGGGCCAAGGGGGTTGCTCATGTCTTGAAGTGGCACTGAAGGCAACAGCAAAAAAATGTTTGAGAAAGGTGTGGAGCACTTTGCTCTGGACACAGCTCCCTTGCTCTCAACAGCCATGCACTGGCTGGCACCTGGCCACCCTGCAATACCACTGGGGCCATCCTGGAGAGGATGCAATGGGTGGTCCCTGAAAAAAGCCCCATGCAGTGATTTGGGGCAAATGCTTGCGCAGGTGGGAGGTGGGTGCCACTGCCCCAAGGAGCTCACTGCAAGCAGGGCAGCCTGGCCCCACCAGAGTCCCCTGCAGCTGGGAGCTCCCAAAACACCACTTCCCAGAGGAGACCCATGCAAACAGCTGCGGGAGCTGAGGGGTGCTGCTGAGCAGTGCCTTGCAGACATGGGTCACACTGCTCCTTTCTACCCCCTCTCCTTCCCTGGGGCGTGACAATGACCACGCAGGAGAGTCCTCTCTGTGTGACAGAAAATACAATTGGAAAAATAGTCTTTTCTGTCTCCTTCACCTTCCCACGTATCTAGTACATAAAAGCCAAATCATTACCCTAGAGACTAATAATATGGTAATTGTAACATTTGCGATCCGGGAATTTCAGGATGTTTACTGAAGAAGTTATTATTTCACTGTGAAATTGCTACCATGCATTCTCTAAGATTCCCTAGAGAGCTAAGCGCAAGCTCGAAGAATACAGAGCAGGGGATTTTTTGTGCTGGCATGTGACATGTCTAGTTAGGAGACGCCCACCAGCTCCCCTTTACCTTGTTTTCTCCACTCCAGCCCCATTTCCAGAGAGGCAGAGGTGGAAAGTGAGCTGCCAGTACCCATCAGCTGGGGAGTGAGAACTTTCTCATTTTATTTTCAGCTGCTGGCCACCTGCTAAGCCACAGAAATGCTGCATTCAAACACCAGCAAAAGACTTTGAAAAGCAACGGGGATGGCTCTAATCTCCATCACACTGTCACAGCGACTCCCCTGAAATAGATGCTTTCATCACAGGGATCACAGCTGCGGCTAGGGGCAGAGTCGCGTTATTTTTTTCTTTCTTTCTTTGAGTTTTTTTGGTTTGATTGCCAATGTAAGTTCAAAACCCAGTTTGCTGGTTGATCTGTGGTGCTGGGGTCGGAGGTGGCTGGTGGGGAGGACATGCAGAAGGAGCTGGAAACCTCTGAGCAACAGAGCAGTCAGGCCCGCTCCGGGACGTGGAGGAGCACCAGCAGCCTCCCACCTCTCTGGGAGGCACCACCTGAACGTCTGCTTGGAAAGGGAAAGTCTAGCAGAGCTCACCACCCTGGGGAGGCTCTTGCCTTCCCACAACAGTGGCATGAGAGAGGCTTCTTCTCCCTTCCATTACCAAAACAGAGCAATACTTTCCTTCTGGGCTAAATCCTCTTTTTCCCCCAGTCCAAACCACGATATTTCTGTTTTCATTTCAGGCACTTAAAAAGAAGGCAAACGTAGCATATGGAGGCTTCAAAATGCCAGGAAAGACAAAATGTTTGCTGAAAATCAGAGCTTGGGCCCCTTGGTGAGGCAGCAGAAGGGAAGGCAGAGCACATGCACATCTCACTGCGAGCTCCGGCTGCCCGGCTCTGGGATGCCCTACCGCAGGCTGCTTGGCACCTCTGGTTGCAGCTTAATCCTCAGGGTCTGCATGCATGAATCCCCCTTCTCACAGTGACATGCCCCTTCTCAGCTTTGCTCCACACTCTTTAGGCTTGGCACTGGTTTCTTTATGTGCAGAGCTTGGTTCTGAGGTGGCAATTTTCTGTGCAAGGGCCCAGGTAATGCATCACCCGGCATTTGGTGACCAGGAAGAACATGTTACCTGCTATTTTTTTCTGGGCAGCCCTCACTGGATAAGAATTGCTAGTACACTCCCAAAACAGCTATTTGCATGTGTACTTTCAGTTCTTCGGAAAACATTGGGCAATCGGAAAGCAAGTAGTTACGCTCTGTGAGACAGCAGTAAATATGGTTTTCTCACATCTATGCTCTCCAATGCAATTACATGGGTTTTCATTAGTAAAAAACAGGCTGACGGCTCCAAAATCAACAGGCAATTCCACTGGCAAATAAAGGCTTGAAGTCTTTGAAGTTCATTCAATATCTCTGAAGTCCAGCAGGTGTAAAGTTCCCAAACATTCCCACCTGTGCTCTGCCTAGTTTGTTTTCTCCATCCACAGTGTCAAAACACAGTTATGGTCATGTACTGAAGACTGTAAAACTATCATGGCCCAGAGAACAGTAAGCTTGGACAAATTTCTTTCTAATCATTTCATCCCTTTAATGCACTCCTGCTCTCAATACTGAAATGCTGCAGGAAAGGCTGGAGATGTGCACTGAACGCCCAGCCACTCTGCTACACTCAGACAGACCGTTCGCAGATGCTTGAGCACACGCCAGGTTGCCCATGGACCTGAAGCTACGGCTTTGTATGAACAGATCAGGACAAAGCTTTTGGCTGCACTACCTGCTGACACTACCAGATACTGACGGGGGTTCGTTACAAGGTACCGCCCCATGTGCCATATCCACTTTTCTACTAACCTCTGTGTATTGCTGAATTACGTTTTCGGGAGTTGGTCCAAGGAAGACATAGAAGTCAAGGATCCCTCCAATAGTGCGGAAAGTTAGGGATGGGTTTGGACTCAGAGAAACATCTGAAAGGAAAAAAACAGGTTCTCAGTACAAACTAGCTCTGCACTATGCGTGGGAATGGTTCAAAGCTCCATCAGGGGATGTTCAAACTTGACATTAGGAAGCATTTCTTTAGCAAGAGGGTGGTCAAACACTGGAACAGGCTTCCTAGAGAGGTGGTCGATGTCCCAAGCCTGTCAGTGTTTCAGAGACATTCGGACAATGCCCTTAATAATTCGCTTTAACTTTTGGTCAGCCCTGAAGTGGTCAGGCAGTTGGACTAGAAGATCACTGCAAGTCCCTTCCAACTTAACTTCTTTTCTTTTCTTTTCTTTTCTTTTCTTTTCTTTTCTTTTCTTTTCTTTTCTTTTCTTTTCTTTTCTTTTCTTTTCTTTTCCTTTCTGCCCTGCCCTACCCTGCCCTACCCTGCCCTACCCTGCCCTACCCTGCCTGCATGCTCTTCCATGCCTAAATGTCTCCCCAGGCAGAGGTGGCTACACGTTCAAGTCACTACCCAATGCCTTGTGGGTACGATCAGATGAGCAAACAGGACCTGTACGTAGGCTAGCAGTTGCCCCGTGTTTCTGTAATCTCTGCTTTCAGATTGGCATTGTGCAGCAATAAATCACAGAAACCCACACTGAGTAGATTGCACAGATCCATTTGTCTCAGTTTCATTTGTATAAAAAGGAACCACAAGCTTGTGTTTAGGGTTCCTTTATGCTATTTTAATCTTCTTATTGGAAGTCATTGCCTGCCAGGGGGAAATGATTTTATAGACTGAGTGAAGATTCCCCTTTTCTGAAATTATACCACTGGATTAATACAGTAAGGTGACCATGGCAACGCACAAAACTATTCTTCACAGACAGAATATAGGACTAACCTAAATTGATTTGATTCAGTTATGCCAATCCCAGAGGAAATTTCTTCCACCTTCCCTTTTCCCTGTATGTGCATCTATTTTCAAAAAAAAAAATGATCATATATTTTCACTGAAAATACCTTACCTTGTTAAACAGTCATTCCAATGAAATCCCTTTAAAAACTTTATAGTAATTCCTGGAACCTCCGTTATGGAACAGTCACTCATATATTTGTACCACATTGAAAAAGCAATCAGCAAACCAGGTGTTTTTATTTACTAATTTGCCATCTTTCTATATGCAGTCCATATAGGCAATCCATATATCTTTTTACCTTGTGCATTGGAGTTCAGAAGGAGAACACCGTGGGCGTTGGAGTCGGCTTCTACACACATATAGAAAGGGTGAACTCCATAGAGGTTGGCAAATGACTGAAACAAACAGCACATTAGGTGTGGCCTGACTTTTCTATTTTTCACTATTTTTGTCAGCTAGGTATGTATGCAAGACAAGGAAATAAATTCATTCATAGTAGAGACTTGTTTTGAAAGGTTGGGGATTTTTTCATCTGAAGTGGTGTGGAGTCAAATTGATAGAAAAGAGTTATTTTTTCTGCCTCAACACAGTGCTTCTTATTAGTCTCTCTTAGTTAAACCCTCCATATTCTGCCAAACCCTCCAAAACGGCATGGGTAAGAAATACTTTGCTAGTTAAAATAGACTCATCAACCACTGACCCCAGTTTAGCCAAACTTCTAATGAGTCCTGGTGAAGTCCAGTTTGTTTGGATGAACAGGGCTTGATACAACATGAAATTAGATGCTTTCCTGAGCCAGGATCTGGGCACACAAAATACTTTTTTTCTGAAAACTAGCTGCACTGTGAGAAAGCTTCTGATGAAAGGTTTCAAAGTCCCCTCAAAATGACCCATAGGTTTGTCATTTAATTAAAACTTACGACATCTGCAAAACCTGTGACATTCCATGTTTACCACAGATTCACATTAGCACTGTTACTATACAGAGAGAGGTGCTCCCTCGGCAAAGCTGTACCTTGCCACCTCCTTTTTGTGATACAGGTTTAGGACAAAGTGTTGCATGAAGTGAATTACCGTTGGTGCCTGATCCCTGCTGAGCTCATGTTCGCCAAACCCATACACCGAGGTGGATGGCACAGTAGTTGTGATCTGAAGATACTGGTTGGAGAAAAACAGATCAACCAGGGCACTGTCCCACCTGCGACAAAGAGAGGGACACATGATTAGTTCGCTTATCTTTGGTATGCGTAATTTTAAGTTCACATCTGGCTATTTATACTTTTTCTGTATTTTGGAGAGTAACAATATTAAAAAACCATTAAATTCTATGCATGCTTCTAACATGCTTAACCTAACACACTAAATTCATCTTGCAATGGCTGCAGACATCTCATCTACTTATACAATAACATGCATCAGTATAATTTTGAAAAGAACAACTAAAATAAGAGAAGACACTATCTATAATCCTATTACCAAAATAAGTGGTTGCTTGTGCTATTTCTATGACAACCAACAGGGCAGGCTAAAAATTGTTATTACGCAGTGGGGTTCAGAATCCTTAATGAGAACAACACTTAGTTGTTATCAGTTTTTACTTTTTAATGCTTTGCTGGATCAGGACCCAAATACTCTTGTTACCCCCAACTTTATGCAGGCACCTAAAGCAAAGGGACAGCTTCCTCCAGACTCTGCTTGAATGAGATGTTTTTATTGTGATAACTCTCCTGCTTCTCTCACCAGCTTAATGCCTTTATTTCTATTGAATCATCTGTGGACACAGGCTCACATTTTAATTAGGTGTTACATTCTGTTTCCTATCTCTAGTGCTATAATGAGCTGCAAGCTAGATGGAGGAGAACATAGTCAAGCTGTGGAGAAGTGTTTTGTTAATGGCACTGTGTATGCCATGAGTACCACATTTAGATAGCACCCTCTTGAGCCTTGTTTAACCATGAATTTGTTACAGCTAATTAAAATAAATGAGCCAAAGCCATAGAGCACAGAAGTGGCATAACTCTCCTTTTAATGGTCTTTTGTCAATGATTTTGACAAAATTAAACAGTTGATCAAATTGACCAGTAAATCAGAGAAGTGGAAGACGAGCTGTGTCAGGAGGGATCTCCCTGATGAGCCCTGCCTGCCACCCGTGCCACTGGCACCCCTGCTTGGGGACAAGTCCCCACTGCTGGGAGGACTGGGAGGGCACCACCTCTCCCACCACACCGGCCTCGGGCAGCTCTGCTCTCCCCATGGGGAAGCAAGGACAATCACTCACAGGGATGCCCAGAGGCAGATCCAAGGCACCCTCCTGCCTCTCCATACAAAAGGCAGGCACAATCCATCCCTGAAATGTCCTAGACAAGTCCTAAGTCAAGCACATGTACTGAAAGGTCTATGTATTTTTCAAAAAGTCTATTTGGCCTTTCTCACAAGCAGGAAAAGTAAGAATTTGTATTTAAGTCTTAATTTGGTTGTTTGCCAGCAGCAGCTCTCCCTCCCTTCCATCATCTCCTCCACCTACGCACAGTACTGAATAAGGTTATTTTCTTATGGGAAGGTAAATGCACACAAAATATCCCTGAGAATCAGATCCAGCCCTTGGCAAACAGAGGCCTTTCTGCAAGAGGCTGCTGCTATGTAGGAACGGGGATGGGCTCTGGAGATATATTCCTGTCCAAAGGAGCGCCGTCACGTAGCTCTGCTCTGTGCCAAGGCAGGCACGGTCACTGCTCTGAGCAGACCACGGGGATATGCAAAAAGCAAAGGATGCCGGAGGGGAAATGTTTTGGGAAGAGCTTAAATGTCTGTCCTAACTCATTGAGCACTCTCCATGATGCCTTTTCAGAGGACATGAGGCTTTGTACATTCATGGTACCCACATTATGGCACTGACATTTCCCATCGTGAGAGCAATTAGTGTTACCAAGGCATTAAAAGTGCTCCCTCTGCTCAGCAAGTCCTCTCCCTGCCCAGGAGGGTAACTGGCATGGTGCAAACCACAACCCTAGGAACAACCCCTCTGCTCTACCACATCTTTACATGGCGCGGAGAAACTGCTTTATGCCTCGTGCATTCCCTCGGGCCACTGTCATGCACTCAACTCCTGCATGGCATCGCCAAAACCGTGCCTCTCTCTGCACCCCTCCATCACTCGGCTCCCCAGGGGCTGACAATCCCAACAGCGCAGCTCCCCGTGCCGTGCTGCCAGCCGTCGCTCTCCACCAGCCTCGTCTTTCGTTAGACCTCCGCTTGCCAGAATGGCCATGCGCTAAATATAGCATTAACTATGACATAAAAAGACTGGTAATGACTCTCTCTTTTTACCAGGCACTATTATGTCTTCTCCATCTGAAGAAAAGCATGGACAGGTTTTCCCCTGGCACCTCTCTCTGCCGCCGCTCCCAAGTGGTTGCCCTTGTGCTCTGCAGTGCGCTGTGCTAAGCTGCTGTGTTACTTTATGTGTTTGCTTGTATTGTGTTGGCAAAGAGCAATCATTTCAATGAAAAAAATGATGTCTGTCATTCCTTAAACACTTGGAAAGAATAAAAGAAAATGTTATATTTCTCCCACCTCCCATCCTGCTGGTTTAAAGCAGATAGAAGGAACAAAACAGGAGGGAGCATAAAATGACACTATGTGCACAGCAATTTGCATGGTTCTCCTCCGACAGTCCTACAAACCATAGCAGCGCTGTGATGGACAACAGAAGGGATCTAAAAATCTAAAAAAAAAAAAATCTAAAAATACAGCTGAGCAGTTGTTCACTGTCAAACCCCTACCAGCAGTTAGACATGGCAAAGCCTGTGAAGATGAGAACCCTTTTCTTTGCACAAGGGGTAATAACTGCACTCAGGTTCACTGCTGAAAGTCCTAACCCTTTAGTGCCTCTGCGGTGGGAGCACTCCTGCCTGTGGAAATACAAACTGGCCTCCCCGCACGGCTGCCTGGCCTGCTGCCTGTCTGGGAAGTCTGACGGGTAAAAGCTAGCATTTTCTTCCAAACACTGCGCACTATACTCAAGAGTAAACCTCTCTATTTTTTAACCTTGCATCAAGGAAAAAAAAAAAGAATGATTCAGGATTGAAAAGGTCTGTGTGAAAATTAACATTTCTGGCCAGCAAGTGAACCAGTCTCCCAGCCAGCAGTCAACCCTCAGGCCACAGGACAAAGCATAACTACGGCGGGCCAGGGGAGTAGTATTAAAGGAAGGTGGGTAGGCAGATAGATAAAACATCCTGTTCACATTGAAGGTGTAGTTTATGACTAACATTGTCACGACATTTCAGGACGATGACTAAAAGGCAGTATAAAATGGTTTTCAGAAGTGCAATCATCAGTCCTTTGTAACACGGACTGGACATGACTATTTGCCTGGTTGAATGACATTGCTCTGTTCGAAGTTTATTGGAGACGAGTAAGCGCAGTGTGCGCAATGGCTTGGAGCACTGACTCTCACCTGCTGTGAGCAAGCAGCTGCTGGCACACACTGAGAGGTCTTATAAAACCTCCAGAATTAGGAGACTTGGGACACGTATATGATACACCATTAAGACACACCTAATGCATTATTTGGACATTCAAAAATCATTTTAGGTTGGGAGAGGGTTATTTTTACTTCTTGTTGCAATGAATCGAAGAGAAATGAGCTCTTATATTAAGGTGTGAACACCTGTCCCACTCAGTCGCTTGGAGAAAACGTCCTCTCTAACATCTGCTTTTCTTGGCCTCCAGACCCTTTGGAAAACGAAGCCTTGTGAAAGTGAGCACACTGCATATATTACCTGTGTGCAAATTCAGGTGGAAACTTCACGTGTCTGTCGGAACAGTGGGTGTAAGCCTCCTGGCAGAGCTTTGGCATACCGTTTCAGAGGGCACGGTCTATCGCTGTATGCACAGGCTGCCTATAAAGTAGTAAAGCACCTTAGGGACTGGGAAGTACAGGCCCTGTTTTCAGAAGAATCTCAAATATACTTGGCCCCTGACTCACCCCACTTGAGCTGCTGAGGAGCATCAGCCTAGGAGCCCAGGTCTCCGTGGTTTTCCACTGCTCTTAAATTGCTGAAAAATGTTTATCACAACAGCTATATTCCTTATTAACTGTAAAAGTCTTAGGGTACCACTGGACTGCAAAAGGCACAGCAAGAATGAATTTTTATATGCTTATCTTACTTTTAAAGTGATTTATCAAATAGGTGGAGAAAGTCAGCACAAGTAACCAACAGATTTTCCACAAACGTGACATTTTAAAAGAAAGAATCGCAGGGTATATTTACGGTTATTGACACAGTTCTGCTCTACTTCTACTGTATTCATTGTCACAGTATCAGGGCATCTCCTATAAGTGGCCGGAGATATAATGCTTCATTTTTGTTCTGCAAAAACACTTGGATAAGTGATATACCTACGATACTTCTTGCCTACATACCATAAATCTTAATGATTAGAAGACGAAAATAATGGCTCTTACAAACTAGGAGCAAACCCAAGCTACCCATGATGCACACAATTTTCTCCTGTTGCTTTCAGCAAAATTGCAGTTTAAGACAATAGCATTATAAATCATTCTAATAGCCTTGCCTATGTAAAAACGTCTTCATGGTAAGTGGCGTCTGTGCTTACTACCAGAATCAATAAAAAAGGCAGCTGAACTCTGCAGCAGCCTTTTTGGAAATTAGGGAAAATCTTGATTAGATTTCAGTTATTTGTGCCATATCTTGCCAAGTGTGATAGCAAACGAGGTATTCCAAACTCTTCACAGAGAGAAAGGAGCACTTATCTGGCTTGGGAAAAATGTTTTGCCTTGCATTATTTGTATGACATCATGAAGGAAAAGTCAGTTGGAGAACGGATATTAAAGTGGAGAATCAAATCAATAGTCAGTCCCTCTGCAGCCTGTCTCCAGCAATGGCCCAGGCCAGATATGGCAGAGGAAGGCATAAGATGTCACTCAGAGCCGGTCTTGCAATGATCTGCTTATGGAGGAAGTTTCTGGCTGTTTTCATAGAATTAGCTTATGTTGTGAAACATGGAGACAAAAATAGTTGGGTGCGTTTTTTTCTACAGATTATTTTTTTGTTATGTGTGAATGTGTATCCTGCTAAGGCTCCCGTGTCAGTACTGCCCTGGGGCAACGAGTCTCACAGAGTAATCACACACTGGAAAATGAGGATGTCTTTGCTATTTATCACTGCCTTAAAGCAAATAATTCCCAGCCTTTTACTCTCTGTTCTTGAGGAAATCCATGCTTTCTTGAAGCCTTCATGCTCACACTTGATACTACCTTCTCCAATGGTTGCTGCTGTTACTGGCAGGAGCAGAAAGAATAGTAGTCAATCTGAGAGTATGTGCCACAAAATAATGCGGAGGCTCTGTTTTGCTCCCTCGCCTGCCTCATTACAACCCAATATTTTCTCTCCTGTTTTTATTACTGTAGGGCCCTGCCCAACGACGGGCCAGTTTCCCAGCAGAGCTGCAAGATCAGCTAGGATAGGGTGCGTGAGGATTTATTAAACTAAAGCTGATATTGATTACAAATTTCTTGACAAAACGTTTTGCCACTAATCACGCCGATTTGCCAAAACAGGTATTTTCCAAGCATCATGGGAGTGGGGAGAGGTTTCCCACAGCCTCCACTGCCCCACGAGGCTGGTAGTTTGGGAAGTTCACCTCTGGGGCTGGAGACCCAGGCCCCAGTCCCTGTCCCTCATGGTTAGATCTAAGACTTGCAGCCTTAAATCAGCTGCAAGTTTGGGTCATATCCCAGGCAAAATGGAATACACCTGACATTTGTATGGGAGCGGGGGCTCTGCCTGCCCCTGATCTCATCTGACCTCCTCAGCACCTCACCAGCGAACACATGGAGGTGGCACCTCTTCAACCCCATGGCTTCGGCGAGCTGCTGGCATGGGGAAGGACCTTCCCTGGCCACCACTGAAACAGTAGGAGCTTGGCAGAGGGTGAAGAGGGGCAGGAGCAGGCAGGACCGGATGGGACAGAGAAAAGGAAAGCAGGGGAGGAGGAGAGAGGTAAGAGGGAGGAAGCCAAGAGGCATTACTGGGAGGAGAAAGGGAGGCAGCCCAAGAGCTCCCGGTCCCCGAGCCCCCAGCAGTACCTGGATCATTTCCCTGCACGATCCTATCTAATTTTTTGCCCCATACAGGCGAAGCAGCGGCTGTCGCCTGATTACCTTGGAGCAAGCTGAAAATGTAGTGGGACTTGGCCTTTTATTCTTGTTCCTGGCTCCACGTGAGGTTTGCAATCAGCTGTTAATGGCTCTCCCCTCACATAATTCATTCCTCTCCCCCGTTATTGTGATTACACGGAGCCCTGAGTTTGTCCTGCCCTCCTTGAGCCAGTGCTTGGGTAGCTAGGCTACAGCAAAGGCTTTTCGTGCACAGAGAGCGGGAGAAACACCTGTAAAGCACATTCAGGAATATCTCAAAGTCTCCACTGCCTCTCCCCTGCAATGTTTCCAACGTGGGATTAAATCATTCCTCACGAGGAGGAGGCTTTGTGCGCATGAATGGCAGAGCTGGGACAGGGTTTGATATCAAGCAGACAGACGGGGAGCCTGCCGTCAGCAACCCCATCGCTGCAAAGTCTGCGGCGCAAAGACACCAATGGTGGGATAGACTGCACCACAGAAAGGAGGGGAGAGAAATAGAAGCACAAACTTTCAAAGAACAACCCAAACCCATACCAAGTTTCTGTTCGGGACAGGCTGCTCACTCCCCACGTGGACTGTCAGCTGTGCCAGAGCACGCTGGGGATCGTGGGGGATTTTAGGCTTTTGTTGGGGAGTGGGTCATCCAGCAGTACGAAGCTGCTGGTAAGGGATAATGAGCATCATGAAAAACAGATTTCTGAGGATTTGGGATCGCTTTACAATAAGAAAGCCTTCCTCAGAGACATTGTTAGAAATGTCCAGCATAGTTCCCGGACCTGGTTTGGTGTAGACATATTATTATCCACTGACACCTGGGGAGTACAACTGCAACACCTGTTGAGAGGCTTTATTTGCCCGTATCAACTATTCTGAGCAATATTTGTGTGCATATGAAGATTAAAGATTGATTCAGCTGTTTGTGAAGACAGCAAGACCATGGCCATTCGCATCTTAAAATAGGAGACTGAAGTCCCCCCAGGTGTTACATGCTGGCCTGTTTCTCAGGGACACTTGCCTACGCAGCCTGCCCTAACCTGGCAGGCCCGAGGCCACCGCCTGTGCAGCTCGGCACGGGGTGCCCTGGAGTCACAGCTCCCACC